AAAGACATTCCTCTGTTGGGAAAATTCCCGTTTACGCGCGCGTGCATCGGAAATCAATCTGATCCAATCCAACGGTTCTTAGAGCGTTTACACGGAACGCTCTTATAGTGACTGGATGTATAAAAACAAGAAACCGATTTGACCGGTTCGATTTAGTGCTATGCTTTTTTATCAACGGCTCGTTGAAAAATCGGCATTAATTCAGTTTTCTATAGTTTTAGAATTTTTCATTAATCTTGTATAAAACATTGATAAGATTTGTCTGATTTTGCTCACATCTTTGTCTCGTAATTTTTCACTAAAGAACCCTAATTACTTTGATTAATTTTGGCATCGACAAGGTCGAACAAGTTTGGTAGAACTGTAGATTGCAATAAATAAACGTAATAATATAGATGTAAAATGAGCAGTACTTACACTGTAGAATCAATGTTAAAAGAAAAGAGCAGAGATCGTGTCTAAAGCTATCATAGGATAGCCTCGTATAAAGTTGTTGCTCTTTCTCTATCAAAACTATCTTCGTATTTTTTTCATTATTAATATCGTTTTAAGAGTTTTTGATTTTTTTCTTCTTTATTTCAGTTTTTGATTTTCGAAAATATTTCTTACAATCTTACTATCTTACTCAATATTAGGTAATTGTGCTGGCAAATCTGATGTTTAGAAGATTAACATCATATCTAATTATAAACTATTTGTAACAGTGGTCATCGAATCAATAACAAACAAACGTGCAGTCTAGTTCGAATAATAGTAACGCTAAGCTGATTGCTCGAGTTGAATACTATACCGTTCTATCGTAATGAATATTTTGTTTGTTTTCTAAGAATTAGCTAGCATGTAAATTTCTCATAATCACATTTAAAAGGTTATTGAAGTGACGGATCAGGCCATGAGACCATAGGGCCCAAAAGATATCCAAGAAATATTAGGTAAACCCCAACCGTCCGATGAGACCGATAATTGATCTCGTTATTTCTCGGTTGCCCTAATGTTTTGGCAGCTTCCTTTGTGCCAAATATCATATCTCTCCTCCTTCCAAGTTCCTACATCAAAGCAAGAGGAAAATGAATTTACAATTTTGAATATACAAATATCATTATGTGGTAACGTATACAATAGAAAGATATGTCGAATTACGTTTGGTCTTCTTAGCTTAATATGGACCGACCGTATCTTTTTCCTTGCTGCTTCCGATCTTGGTTCCTTTATGTTGTACGACCTGCGTACTACTGGTCAAACTCCTTTGAATTCTGTGTATATTCTAAAGGCGAACCAAAAGAGAGAAAATATTGAAGATTATACCATAACATACTATTATGCCCCTCTATTAGGACTAATCACATGTTGATACACCACATGACTCTAACCCTTCTCGTCTCGTTATTCGAAACCACCGGTTGAAATCGACTCACCACTGGGCCTTAAACCCATGGCGACATATGCCGTTTAAATCATGTATTCAAACATATTAAAAAAACTATCCAAAATAATCTTTGTAATTTAGCCGCATATAGTACTAACTTTTCTTACCTATATATATTGAAGATATACTACTAACATTTATTTCGAAGTGAAGAAATTTTAAATTTAGTAATGAAAATACTTGGAACAATATAACAGATGAAGATATTGGTGAATATTAGTCGTACCTGTCAGTTTCCCTTGTTGGTAACTTTTTTATAGACTAAGACAACGAGTCCACTTCGGATTTTCCCCCTCATTGGTGTAAAACACGTATGTATTAAAGTGTATAGCGTCTCAACTCTCAACCATTTCAAACAAATTTCTTACGTCTGCATTTTGTGTAAAAGAAAGAACACAAGACATACAATATATCCATTTGGTCCATCAACTTGTTTAGTCTTCAATTTTTATGGAACACATACTTATACACAAAATAACAGTTAATCCTTGAGTTGATATATATATTGGCTCTACAAGATTCTAATAACACTTCTTCATTTGGTTAAGTTTTTTTCAACTTACTATTAGATCTCTAAAATCAGCAACGTTCAAAACGCAAAAACCCAAACAAATATAATAAAAAATGACTGATACACCAAATATTATGGGATATAAATTTAAACAGTTATAATTAAAGAAAACATTGTTTACAATATGTTCACCCTATAGCATCAGATTGGAAATGAGCTCCAAACAATGTTTAGATAACATTAATCGATTTATATGCTATATACATTTTATAGTGCAGAATTGCATACTCAAACAAAGTCGGTTATAAGAAAAAGCTTTTGCTACCACTTGCTCCAGTGGAATTCAATTTCGGACCACAGTGTTAGAGCGTGCACATGCTAAACTCACGTTAGATCAAACCAACTTATATTACCCTATTTTATCAATGGCATGACTTAATTTTCTTTATATATATATATATATATATAGGTTACGCGACGACCAATTTTCAACTGCGACAGTAAAATCAGTAGACTAATTTAACTATTTTTCGTTTTGAGGTTAATTGTTGACTATTTTAGCAGTAAAAATACAAATGTACTTTACCCAAAAAAAAAATACAAATGTAAATCCACATAAACGTAAAAGAATAGATGGGGCTCGTATATCCACATGATTTAAATCTAAGTCGTGTGGAGGTTCAGCTATATAAGCAACTCTACGCTTTTAGACTCGAACGGTGCATGGTTCTAATAAGTAACAAGACCATTCTGCACGCATGCTAGAGTAGCCTAAACTATACCAATTTAATTATTATTATATTATTATTATTACTCTTGAATGTTTTTATATATCGTCATTTTGCCGTAACAATAAATGAGGCGTGTTGTTAGTTGTAGTGATCCGGTTTGTGGTGTGGACCGCGGTGGTTGACGTCTTTCTTTCTTTTTGAGGACCGTGGTTGTGGCTGTTGGTTGACACGTTGTTAAATTAATGAACAGTTACCGAGTTCTGGTTATGATTTGTGGAGCTAGTATCGTCAAAAAAGGTGAAATGAAAATCTGAAATTGTTAACGAAATTCGTCACTGTAAATTGTATACTATACAAAACTGTTGGACTCCATATAACATCACAAACGCATATAAAGGTTACATTCTCATGTTTGATCCTACTACAAAAAAATATATATATGAACTTGTGTTGCGGAATTTTGTTGTTAGAGAAAACATACTTATAATTCTGCATTACTTCAAAGAGTTTTGTTCTACGTAAATGATCCATGTGTGTTCACCAGGTGCAAGGATTCATCTTATCATTGTTTTTTTTTTTTTTTTTGTAAATGTAAAGCATTACCTTTAACGAATTCTTATTTTTATTATAAACAAGAGTAAATTTAATTGTTGACAAAATAATGGTTGTCAAAACTGAAATGCCGAAGGAAAAAAATAAATAAAAAGAAACCATACTATCAAACGACATGTTAATATCAGACCCACATGATTTTTATCTCTTTTGCAACCAATTCACTCATTTAGGCGACCTTTTTTTTTAAAAAAAAAGGTAAATAGGCTGTTGAGTCAAAAAATAAAAGAAGTAAACAAAGTTTGTTTACGTATATAGCAGCTAAAGCCTAGAGTGAAGAGCCAACCAGACAAGAGAAGCGTGGATTTTTCCGGATCCACGTGGCATGATTTAACAGACCCAAAACATGTGGTAAAATGTGGGACAAAAGCCGTGCCCTGTGAGCGTGGTTTGGCCAGAGTAGATTGCATCCATAATCAAGCGATCCCAGCCGTTAAACCGGTTTTACACGTTCTTAAACGTGACGTTATGTTTGCAAAAAGTATTAATTTCAATTTTTTTTTCATATAATCTTTTTATCTTAGAAACAAATAAATTCCTTACTAGCTATTATTTATTTTATACAATTAATACCTTTTAATATAATCTCAATTGTTTTGTACATGTAATTAGATTAGTCTCTCTGTGAACTTGATCAACTATTTTAGAACAATAAGTCTTAACAGTTTGTTCTCACCTCCCACATTGAATTAGTCTAACTTGGTCGTACGCGATCGCAAGCGAAAAGAGAGAAAATTATATAAAAGTTATACGAGTTAGGAGTTATTACGAAAATCCACTAGTCATTTGTTCTCAACTCTCATTTTCTCGATTTACAATAAATCAACTATCTTGCACATCTTTTATACTTAAAGTTCAGAGAAAAGAAAGATGATGGATTCATTGATGATTATTTTTTTTCCTGGTTTGTTGCAACCGAATTAACGATTAGAAATGAATTTCAGATGATTAACATTCCGTCAAATCTCTATCTTTACCTCGATCGACTTCTATTTTTCTTTTATTTTTCCGTTTTCTACTACTTGATAACATCTTAATTCCTTAATATATAAAGCACATTTAATTTAAAGTATTTTAGTGTAAGAACCTTATGTTGTGAACTGAATCAACAAATCCATAAATAATTACAGTAACATTAATAGAAAAGTAAAGAGGTTGGTCTCTCTTTAATTTTCTTTGACACGAGCATCCCCAACTTTATCTTTCACATCTCCATACTATTATTAGCCCTTGAAAATTTGCTTTGAATGTAATAACTAGTTTCAAATGTATAACTGCAGATGCAATAATGGCTATGCTAAGCGGTAATGTGAAACAGCTGCCACTTTGTATACAAAGCCTACATGATCTAACCCAAATATCGGCCCAATAGTCACCAACGCACTAAAAAGTATAAGATACTAAAGAGCCCTCAAGCAAATACTAAATGGTTTGACATATTTTGTCCGAGGGGAGAAACTATTTTTTGCACCAATTAAGCATGTATCTTCATTTTCACCTCACCTGTATAGTTTTATTTGATTACAAATTTCAATCATATCGGATTTTTAATCTATCTAATTCGCTGTATACTGTTTAAGGAAAATGATTGGATTCTTATCTCTTTAAATTCTATCTTTAATTGCGCTAAACTAGTTTTTTTTCTTCTTTAAAATACCAATGGCGACGTGTTTATATAGCATCAAGATATTTTTGCATTTCAATGGACTGATTCGTTGTGCCAAGTGTCCATGAGAAAAGCACCTCAGCTGATGACAACGAACATCATGCAAATCTATACAACCCTCTCAAGAGCCACTTTTTCTCTATCTCTTCACTTCTCAACTTTTTCATCAGTACAGGCACAATCTATTGCTTGAAATGACGCTCCCTTATCTCTATTCCGTCTTTCTCTTCTCCGGCCTCATCTTCGTCACGCATGCCTTCGACCTCAGCCTCATCCAGGTTTCCTTTGTTTTCTATTTAATTTTTCTGATTAGTAAAAAACAAGAACCGGTTTTCTGGTTTCCTGAATATTTTTTTCCCGGGAAAATCATGTAGATGGAAGCCGGAACATGTCCGTATACAGTGGTTGTCATGACTAGCTGCCTCTCTCCGCAGTCGACAAGGGATCAGATCAGTATCGCTTTTGGCGACGCCGACGGTAACCAGGTTAATTAGAGACATACTCCAGAGTCTAAATACTTATCATGAAATGAATCAATACTGAAATATAGAAAATTTAATGAGATATATGTAAATGGGATATAGAAAAAAAAAAAATTATCCCACCAATTCTCCGGCATAAAAATAGAGGGGTGTTTCCCTTTTAAAATTATTTATTTTCAGTTGAATAAGTAAAGAGTTTATTTCGTTGAAAGGCTAAATGCTGATGAATGGGTTCGTTCCTTCCTTTTAAGTCTAAACTATACAATCTTATTTGAACCCAAAAAAAAAAAAAAAACTATACAATCTTTATCTGCATGTGCGTTTATACATGTAACTTTACGGTTTTAGGTCCAAGCACCGAGACTAGGCGGATCAGTAAGAGGAACAGGGAGTTTAGGGAAGTGTTCAACAGACACATTCCAAGTCAAAGGTCAATGTTTAACTAACCCTATCTGCTCTCTCTATATCAACCGTGATGGACCCGACGGTTGGGTCCCGGAGTCCATCGAGATCTACTCAGAAGGTTCAAAGTCTGTTAAATTCGACTTAAGCAAGACCGTCCCTCAAAACACTTGGTACGGCCAAAACAACTGTAACACCACAGGCGGACGACCATCGGCTCCCGAGCTACCTCCACCGGAGACACCTGCTATCCCACCGCCGTCTCCTCCACGACCGTCTCCTCCACGGCCGTCTGCTGCTTCCGGGCGTAGTGGAGATGGTGTTAGTGCTTTTCTTGCGTTTGCCATTGCCGCCGCAATGGTGCGTTAGGATTTGCTTAATGAGCATTTCGTAGCCTGAGAGACTTTTTTTTTTTCGTTGAAATGTTTTGTTTGTTTTGGTTTGTTTCGGTCTCGCCGTTGTGTTGTAGAAAAGTATAATTAAAGTACTAAGTTTCGTTTTAAATTTAAATTTTGTTTTAGACGTGCTTAATTTCAATAGATAGAGGATTTTGCTCAAAAGGGTTTTAAAAAATGTGGAGATAATTACTATTAATCTCTGCAAATTCACCTAAAACATTTTATAAAAAAAATATGAAATAGATGGAAAATGTGTACCTATGAGTTTCTCTATCTAGCTGTAATTATTGGGACCAACTTTCAGTAATACAACTTATAAAGGGTAACGGTAATCCATCTCTTCCCACAACCGGTGTTCGGAGTTGAGTTTTAGCTAGATAGTATAATATTTTGATAAGATATATCATATAAGTATATCTGCTGTGATCGTTTTTAACATCTCCTATATTTATTAGAATATCTTTAAGGCCTGCCATTAATTGAGCTGATATATTCATAAACTGAAGTGTTCAAGAATAAGTGAATAACAAATAGAGACAACCAGATTTTGATAATGGATAACAAACCTCATCCAGGCATATTTGATTTCTATTTCATTGAAACACGTAAATAGTGTATACTTGAAATGTTGTCGAAAACTAGGTGGAATGCATGGAATTTGTCTGGTAGTAGTAGGTGGAGTTCGTGGGAGAAGTGGCGCCACGTAACCGACTCATGTTGCATTTACTCTGCTTTTACTTGTCTACTCTTCCCTTTAGCCAAATTTCTTCTTTTGTTCAACGTGTCCTTGAACTTAAACCGGGACCAAATACGAACTTTACTTTGATTTTTGTTTTTTTAAAGTCAATTTGTGCAAAATATTATATTATAAGATTGTTATAATAATAAAGTGTCTCGCAAATGAGCCTTGTTTGAATGAAGAGAAGAATCTCACAGACCGAAGATTCGATCGTTTAGTTCTTGGCATGGACATATTTTCGATAAACCATGTTGAAATTCATCGTATCTAATTTTCATATACAAAATAGTAAGAATAGATTGGATAAATCGTTTGCCAAAAAACAAATAGAATGAATTGTTTGTTCGAGACCGATTAAAGATTTCGTTAAGTCATATAAAAACTGGTTTTTTAATTGAGGGAAAAAAAAGTAATTACAAAAGAAAGTATATTTTTTGTTCATGAGTAGACAACCTTAAAACTTAAAAGGGGTTTGACCAAACAAGAAAAAAACTGAAGGGTTGTTTGTGTAAAACGTTAAAGTTTAGTGACACCAAGGAAGCATAAAGCTTTCACACAAACTCTTTTCCACAGTCGACAGCAAAGTCAAGAAGCAGCACAAGAATGGCGCCCTTGCAACTTGTCACTCTCCTCTGTTTCGTCTTCTCTGTTTCCGGATCCATAATCGTCTCGAACCCTCATGCTGCAGAATCCTTCAATGCCAGTCTCATTCAGGTTCTGTTTTCTTAATCTTCTTGTTTGTTTTTTTTTTTTTATCATTCCATCTAATTGCTTCTTCTTCTTTTTTTTGACGGAGGATGCAGAATTTGGGAAGCTGTAGTTACACGGTGATCATCTCCACGAGCTGTTCGTCACCGAGGTACACGCGAGACCAGATCAGCCTCGCTTTCGGCGATGGCTACGGAAATCAGGTTGGATTATCCGCTGTATTAGGTTATTAGTCATTCCTATGGTTGTTAACAGAGCTTGATCTCACTGAATCTGTTAACCATAGGATTTTTAGATTTTATTTCTCTCTACTTCAAAAATTATATATTGATACCTCATAACATTTTCAAGCTCTGTTAACAACCATAGGATTTTCAGATTCTATTTCTCTCTACTTCAAAAATTATATATTGTATGCCTCATAACATTTTCAAGCTCTGTTAAAACCATAAGATTTTCATAATTTATTTCTCTCTACTTCAAAAATTATATATTGATGCCTCGTAACATTCTCAAGCTCTGTTATAAACCATAGGATTTTCAGATTTTATTTCTTTACTTCAAAAATTATATATTGATGCCTCATAACATTTTCATATTTGACGAATTGTGTAAAATATATATTTTTTTTTCATATTTTTTGTCAAAGTTTTTCTTGTTGCTTGCTGCTAGTACCAGATTGCTCTTGGTGTATAACTGGAAGTTCTACAATTGATTTGATAAATAACTTCATGCTTTATACTCCCATTTACTACATATATATGGGAGTAAAAAAAAATATATATATATATATATATATATTTAAGACAAAATTATTGAATCAGGTATACGCACCGCGGCTTGATGACCCAGGGACGAGAGCATTTGATAAATGTTCATCAGATACCTATGAGATAAACGGACCATGTGCATACCAGATATGCTATGTTTATCTCTACAGGTCTGGTCCGGATGGTTGGGTTCCAGGGCGTGTTAAGATATTCGGTCATAGCTCCAAGGCAGTCACTTTCTCCTACAACAAATATGTCCCCGAAAGCATATGGTATGGTTTTAATTACTGCAACAGCATCTCTCATTCTAACTCCCTAACTTTGTCCGGTCTCAGCAAGCTCCTACTTGTAGGGCTTGTCACTTTGCTTTGGTAAGTTTGCTATTTGCCCTCCTTTTTTTTTTTTTTTTTTTTGACAACTTGCTATTTGCCCTCCTTTGTGGAATAAGTGTCTAATATCGAACCATTTCTTCTTTTTGCTTCTTTTCTCGTGTGTTTACATGGACCCTTGGTTTACGCATATGTTATTCGGTTAGGTTTGCATTCGTATGCACTTTCTTTAACTCGGTTTGCGACGATAATGATAAGTTTTTATTCTATATAGAGCACATCAATCTACAAAACTCACTGAAAACACTTAGGCATTGAAATCCCTTTGGAGCCTTTGATTGAGCTTAGCCCGTCACAGACTCAGTCCTGTGATTCCACCAGTTGAACAACACCAATAATATACTAGAAGACCTATGAAGTCTGAAACTTCCATTCTCATCTACAGCTAAGCCCAATTAAGAACACCATTCTAGAGACTCCAAGGCCTAATATAAATCCACTTGTAGACAACCCCAGATTTGAAGGCCCAGGAAGACATAGTTGTAACATGTCGAAGTCAACCCTCAAATGCAATTTGTTTGCAATGACATCATTTCATATGAATGAAAACTAGTCGTCTACAACGATCCAAACTAAATAGCAGATGAATTTACTCCCACAAAATATAATACGATAAAACATCAAGAAGAAAATTCACAATAATCCAAATCGCACGCATCTACAAAATCCAATGGATCGGGATTCAAGAAATCATTTTAAATAAATATATAAGAAACCTTTCCGCGACGTAATCTCTGGCCATTACAATTTAGTTTTTCGTTGACGACAAAGACGATGGAAAAGACAAAACGACCCCAGGTATAAACAATATGACATGTCATCTCTTACGCAAGCATAAAGTCAAATTAAGGAAAAATACAATCTTAACATTGTCATTTCAGAAGACAACAAATTATGAAAGATTGGGTCTTGCGAGAAACATATATAAATATTTCATCTATTGACAAGTACGTGCAAAGGTGACAAATTGAAAAAAAAAAAGGAGAAAGGTATGTACGAAGATGAATGTGAAATACTAATATGTATTAACTAGCTAGTATCTAGAGAAAAACAATGTCATTTTCAGTTTTATTTTGAAGAGTAATCTAAGACAACATATTTGACATTTTGTTCTGTTGGGTCATTAGCAAGATATCTAGACTTTATTTTATGATTTATAATTTTTCCCTCATGAAAATCTTTCGACATAATTGAGTCATTCGTAGAGGAAAAACAATTGAATTTCTCATATAATAGTATTAGTTCATGTAACCATTTATTTAGTATTGTACTAATTAATTATATACTACTAATTGTATTTTCATCAGTGGACGACAATGTATGTTGATTGCTTGGTATATTAAAAAAAAGTATACGGGAAAATGTATTTTAAAATGTAGCTTTTAAGTTTCCGGTTTTGGTACCATCTTCGGAAACGTACAAAAGACATTTTTCTATGAAAACATCTCAAATGATATGATGTAACATATTCAGACATGTATCATTAACATGTAATATCACAAAGAGATATTTGTTTTTTCCAGAAAAAAAAAATATATATTCTTATCTCTACATTTGTCTATGTCTATCTCTATATTTCATTTTATTTTTTAAAGGATATTGATACATCCATTATCCTTTTATCTCAATCTTTTTTGTTGATATATCATGAATATTAGTTAGGGTTCAAAGAATCCATAAACGTCTCAAATTATTTGTCGACTCTACTAAATTTTTTTTTTTAAAATATATTTAACATAGTATAATATTTTATAATAAAATAGGGTTCAAACTAATACATATCTAATAAAATTGAAATCGTGTTCCATTGCTCCATTTACTTAATTACTCATACTACAAAATGATCCTTATTAAACAGTGTACATTTTCTAAAAAGTAACAAGAAAAATCTTCAGATACATACTAGTGTAGTGTACTGTTAATAACAGTAGCATATGAGGAACCGACAACATATATTTTTCAGGATATCAGAAATTGGTCCGGTTCAAAACAAGAATATGATAACCTAAAATATATCCATTTTGTTTATAGTTAGTAAGAGAAATGTCATAAAAATACTCATGTCGATAAAGGTAGCACAAATCTAAGCTTCATAAAAAAATTGTTATCGCTAACCAAAAATAAAATTCTGTGAAAAAAAGGACAGGGGCCCAAATAATTATTTACTTAACTTTCCATAGTAGGACAGAGAGAGCTGATTGAAACGATACCTAAAGTGTGAGATATCGAAGAATCTAACATCGTGATAGTGAGAGAGCAACAAGTTTTTCATTGGTGCATGTTACTTCACTTGGTGGACCATTCCTTTTATTTGCAAGCTTGCAAATATATTTGTTTTGTATTACAAATTATAATCCAATCTAAAAGAAGAAAACAGAGAGAAGTGGGAAAAATACTAATTAAGAAAGACATTAAACGATGTCGTATAGCTGGACAGGATGAAAATCACTGTCGTGAAGTGTGTAATTGAGACGGCAGGAAAGAGACAAAAGAGAGGCACGTGAAGCACGTGAAGGGGGCCTGTTTTACCTTATGAGAAGTAGGGGATGGCCCATTGGGCCTTTTCCAATGGTTCTATTTTTTTCAATTTATCTATTTATTTATTCGTGTAATAAAACAAAGTTCACGTTAATGTGTTTTGTCCTTTCCTTTTCTTTCTTTGGTTGTACGTATAATCTAAATCAATAATTTTTCTTCTTTAAATGGGTTCTTAGTATTTTCTTTTCTTTTTGGTCATCATTCTTAGTCTTCGACTGATATCTCTTTCTTCGGATTAATTCTTGGTGATATTATAACAAAATTAATATAAATCGCAACATTTTTTTAGAATTACTGGTTAAACACATTCCGTCAAACTGATTTCACTAATTTCATATCAAAAAATCAAAACGATTACACTAGCACAATATGTACCAAATTGAAGATAGTAGAACTTTAGAGGTGAGAATAGATGATGCTTTTCTTAGTAAAACTTATTCTTTAATAAATTTTTAAATTCCTGTCGCTTTAATATATTATTTTTCGCATTCAGAAAAAAATTACAGTCATTCCGTCATTGGAGTTACGCCATATAAATTATAAAAGGTCGACCAATGTCATATTTACATGCATATTTCTTATCATATTAGATTCTATTTCGAAGAAAATAAAAGAAGACGACAAAAGCAAGTACATTGTCTTCTTACATGGCACAAGTACAACCATCCAAATCTCCAGATAAATTTATAGATACACACAGTAAGATTTGTTTTGTTTTTTCCTTTTTTTTTTGTTCTTGCGGTCGAATCAAAGTTTGTTTTTCGCTGTGTCTATCAATTCTCTCACTGTAATGAAATCTAAAATTCGTGTGTCGAGTAAAATATGGATAGTGAAATCAGCAAATACTATTCATCTGAAATCTCATTTATTGAAATTTTTCTTTCTTTTTCTTTAATTTCAAAGGTGGGACCAGCTTTTGGATCTATAGTTATTATTTTTTCTTTTTTAGCCTTGATACAATGTTCGGTAATATATATTCAAAATCGATCGCAGCATCTCAGATTAACGATGAACAGTCTTCTGTATTCTTTTTCTTCTACGTTCCCAATATAGGGATGTTCTCTCTTTTTAAAATTATTTTTTATTTTGAGTATAACATTGTATACGTCTGTCTCATCAAGTCTCAACTGATATTTAGTTAATACACAAGTTTCCAATAAAAACCTTTATAAGAAGAAAAAACACTATCTCGTTGATATATTACACATGATAATTTAGTTTATGAAAATTAGTTATTAAATAAAACGAAGGAGGAGTATGTTTTGAAAAGTAAAAAGACAGAATTGATGAATGAAGTATCCAATGAGTGTTTTCAAAGCCTGCAAGCGTTCACAAAATTTTAAGAGGACATCTAATAAAATCAAGTAAGAGAGTATTATCATGTGGAACAAACTAAAATATGCCTTTATATATTTCTACTTGGGGAATTTTTTTCTAATATGTTTAGTGGTCCATTTGTCGAACCTGATATCCACTTGGTCTTGTTGACAACCTTAATACTGACACTTTGGATTTATTTTCTTATAATTATATTATGTGTTTTAATTGTCAAATGGAGTACATATTTTTTATTTTCTAATTTTAATTTTAAACCAAATAAACATAAAGCAAGATAATTAATAAGGGGGGGGGGGGGGAATAATAAAAAAAGGCTCCTTAATTAACTAATCTTGGACATATTATCTCTCTCGTCCCTTAAGAAACCCCACATGAAAGCTCTTTACATAACTATAAGTCAACTTCTGGGCCATATCATTGTCTCCTCGTTTTAGAAACTTATTCTGTTCTTAAGCCAATTTGAGAACTCTTCAAGAGTGTTCATGTCTGCTCTATAATGCTTCTGCGTGAACTCAAGAAACATAGACCACGTAAAATCAGGATACTCTCTTTCACCAGAAAATATTCCTCCTACTAGTTCTTCTGGTGGCTTTACCATTTTGTCTCCATTCGGACTTAGGAAGAATGCAAATGACTTCCTCTCTCTCTCGCTGTTCACCACCGCCCGATGCAAACAACTCTTGTATTGTCCATTCGTTAAAGCCTGAATATATATGATACCAAAAAAAATGTTAAAAGTTTATTGTCATTTGGTCAACTGATTCATGCATGCATTAGTCATAATAATAAGTACCATGAAGGTATCGCCTATGTTCACCACGAATGCTTGAGGGTTAGGAGAAATGGATTGCCATTTGTTGTCCACGAAAACTTGAAGACCACCGACTTGGTCTTGATGAAGTATGGTTAGAGATGTTGGGTCGCAGTGCGGTCCTGTCCCTAATGCAAGCTCCGGTTGGTTGCACTTCGGGTAGTAATTCAACCGTAATATCGAATCGTTATCTTCAAAAAACTCTCTAAAATGTCTCCTCTGGAGCCCAAGACTCATTCCAAGAAGCTCCATGATCTTTAGTGAGAGAATGTTCATTGCTTCCGCGTATTCTTGATAAACGTTCCTGCATGGATAAAATCAACCAATTATCAGTCTTTTCTGGATAATTTTTGGTTACTGGATATTATATTCTCTGCCACTTGAGGCGTCTACATTGACAAAGAAAACCTTCTTAAAGTTTCAAAAATATTTTGCTGATGTGATTACCCGAAATCTTCGTATCCATCCCCCATTCTCTTAGAAACAAAGTCTTTAACGGTCTGGGAATGGCACTTCTCCTCGGGAGAGAACTTAAACGACAGCGTTTCCTTCCACGGGAGCTTAGAGGAGAATCTCCCGACGAAGCTACTAGCGTAACCGTAGCTCTCACCCCATGTCCTCTTAGCCTTCTGTTTCTCAAAAGCTGGAGCCTTAAAGAAAGAGTCCATCAACAGATAGGCACGAGACAAGAGCGTCTCATCGACGCCATGGTTAGTGACTAGGAAGAAGCCATGTTTCTTTGAAGCCTCCGAGACGAGTCTAGTCGCCTCCGAGACCAAGAATGAGTCGCCGGAGAGGAAACCGGCGAGGTCTATGAGGGGGACTTGAAGAGGTTGAACATCTTTGGATGGTTTCTCGTGGTCGGGCCATACAAACTGTTGAGGTATGTGGTTTTGTTGCTGATTCAGGAGCATTGTATCGAAGATTGAAGGATCCTCTTTGCTTTCGTTTTCATTGAATCTTTGAGGGGGAGTTGCGATGCATTCCATTGCCATTTATCTGTATGTATAGATATAGTAGTGGAAATGAAAGATCCTTGAAAGGGATTCTTCGATATATATATTAATATCGTTAAGAGAGACTTATGTATTTAGTGGTCGTGTAAGTGGAGAAGAAATAGTGATACTTATAGGTGTGAGTGAAACTTAAGGCGTATGGAATAGTGACGTCAGTGTTTTGTGTGTATGTGTGTGTTGATTTCATTTTATTAAAATAGTTTGTTTTTATTTCTGGGTCAATCAAAACCTTGGTTTTGTTTATTCCCTTTGTTAGTTAACAATTTCGTATATTTTTCATACAAGTTGTCTCTATCTCTTCTTTTTTCTTTGGTTTTTCAAAAGTACTACATAGTGTATCAAAGATAAAAGTATTTTATTTAATAAAAAAATCAAGCTAAATTCAACAAACTTCTGCTAAAAATAATAGGGATATAAATGCAAGATGGCAATTTAATACTCTTTCATACGAAAATTTTATTTAATACTCTTTAAAAAGTACGAAAACCCGTTTCAAAGCTCATCAAAGAACCAACAATGTCATCAAATATATATTTTTATTGATATCCTAACCGATTCATCATTTTAATGAAACGGCTGGTGGCGGGGAGGGGAGGGGGGAAGTTTGGGTCTTTTTGAAGCCCATCACAAACCAAATGGTATTAATCCAACATGTTTTAGTTGATTGGTATGACACTGAAAAGTAATTTAAAAATGAGTTGTCTTCTTCTTAGTTATTAAAGATGTGGTGTAAAATAACAGTCTCTTGGTGTTAAAGGACCGACGTTTCTTGATTATACGTAAAATAAGAGATTGATTCCTGACTTATTTATAAAGAAAATGAAAGAACAACATACTTTATGTACTTAAAAATTTTCGTCAAAAATAGATATTGTATAAATTAGCTGTTGAAGTAAATTATATAAATTTGTTTGTCTATTACATTATCTAAGTTAATATGTTTGTAAAAAAGGTTTCTTCTATATGTGTCAGTATTATTTTAAAAAATAAATAAAGAGTATATAACTATAAATTTTAAGAGAGATGAGTTGTTTAAACCAAAACAATAAATTTGAAGCTGTTAAGGTTGTCTTCATGTGGAGAGTGTGGCAGTACCAACATTTTCAATGATGTCTGCGAGTGACACACAGCTTCAAGGCGCATGGAGATGCATATGTCTTCTCTCTTGTTTATTGATTTTGATAGTTGAAGAGGAGTGAATGTATAAAATTAATCTTAATTGTCTTCTACATAAAATCAACTTTGGATGTATAGAAACGGACGTTAACACTTTAACGTAACCGTTTTCTTTAGTCTACACGACTCCATCCTCGAGCATATCGATTTGGTCTGTTGTGATATGTGGTGTTCTTTATGTGCCAATTGCCAAACACGTAAAACATGCAATTCTCTGTTTACCCTGTAACTGAAAAAAAAAGAGCCTTCTCCGCGTAACTGATATCTTCTCCCTTTTGGAAATGTAAAGAACAAATACGAAGTTATTTTAGTATATTTCATACTTTTAAGTTGATTATGTTTTTAAACGTAGAGTTATCCAGTGATGTACACATAGTTATGAAAAAATAGTGAATAGAGACATTGTAAACCCTAATAAAAAAAAAATCACATTGGACTAAACGATTATTAACTTGTTATCTAGTGTGAATAAGCTGAAACCTAAGCTAAGCATTGATGGTTTTTTTTTTTTTTATCTTCAGAAAAGAAGGTATAGGAGTTTAGCACTATAAATTTAATATTTAATTCTAGCTCAGTTTAATTTAAAACTGATAAGTCATGACAAGTGACGCGAATAACATGACTAGGGTCTATTTTATTTTTAGCACAGTTTAAACAGATTTTCCCATAAAAAACTATGAATTGTTATAATTATAAGTATTAGTATCGTTAATGAAAACAGTGCACACTAGCTAACACCAAAATTTATTAGTAAGATTATCTTTTTATAATAGGTAGAAATATATAAGTCGACAATGATAATCAAAGGAAAAAGATTAGCATCATTTTAACTGATATAAATAACAGCCTCAATTAAAATAATCTGTAAAAATATATATACCAATTACTAAAAATTATGCACAAAGTGATGCAAATCCAATCACATAATTCCAAAATTGATGTCAAAAGATAAAACAAGAGCGACACTAATTCATATGTTGTAGACTTGTAATGCGTCAATCAATGAATATAAACAATTTCGCTATAACAAAAAAAAATTACGTTAAAAAAGCAGTTTAATGTGATTGGGAGAACATGCAATTTAAATTACATATTTGAACCTTGTGAAGATTTTTTTTAAGGGTGCCAAATTACCGGGTTTAATTGTTTAATTACAAGAAACTGAAAGCTAATACTCGACCAAGACAAATTTAATTTCATTTAAAAAAATAGAAATAAAACTAGAATTTTTCTCAAAATAAAATAAAAATAGAAAGACATATATTAGTGAATCTTTGCATGCAGGCTGAGACACCGAAAAGATGAACCATATCTAATCTTCTCACTGCAGCACTCCATTTTGAAAAGATGGCCAAGCCAATTTGCCTACATTTTACCCAACAAAATTATATTATTAATAACTTTTGGAGGAAGATAATTGGATAATGTGTGTAAGTCACTTTGGGTATCTAAAAATGATGGAGTGTCTTGATTTCTTCCTTTAATTAGAACTGTTGTACAAGTCCTTTTTGATCTACTTGGTCACTTTATAAAAAATTGTTCATCTATATTTGACCTAATAGCATGTTCGTCGTTGATGCTAAGTTGCTAACCAATGAACGATATATATATATATATATAGTGAGTAATGTCGGATTTGACAAATGGATAGCGACTTTTAAAGGAAAGTGACATTATTGGGGGTTTTTATAACCCTAAATCTGGAAGCCGTCCACAGTCTGTCTTTCTTGTAGATGTCTAATCGACCGGAGATGTTTGGTTATTAATTAGTGAAATTGCTATCGACCCAACAAAAATCCGACGCATATATAATTGGAAGGAAATGTTGTGGAGATATGCATAGACTACATAGCACACAGAAGTTTTCTTAAAAAAAACTACATAGCAAACTGATTTAGGGCTTCATTTTTAAGTTCAGGCCCAGGCTATACAGGCCTAATGCCCAAAAAACGTAATGGGTTATTGTTTCTAATCATTTGTATTCTGTAAATTTTGTTTATCTTATTTTAATTGTGTTTAGATATGTATAAAAAATTTAATTTTATGTGCAAAAATCTTAAATTCTATCTATTTTAAAACGAAAGGAGTATTTAAGATAATTTGTTCGCAGTGATTATCTCTATAGATGCATATATTATGTTTTAAATATTTTAGTTAGTAACAAATATTCTTAATGAGTTTATTTGGTTAACAAAATACCACCTTATACACATGTTTTTAACCAACGAGTGCCACGTTTTATTTGTAAATCATATATTTAGATGTTTTTTCTTTTTCGTCGAAGAATATTAGATTTAGCTGATGGTATACATTAGTTGTAATGGTGGAAACCATTATAATTATACTTTAATTTCCCTAAACCATTAATTTTACATGCTGTTTTAACCAAAAATATAACAATAACTTTTACGTGCTTTATTTTCTCCTAATGACAAACCACTATCGTTTTCCAGTGATTAATTACAAAAGCACTAGCGCCTAATTTAATTGGAAACATTAATAGCTATTAAACAGCAAATCTAGTGTCCTGCATGCAGTTTACCTTTTTGTTACATACGTCATACGTGTTAATGTAACATTAGATTCTCATCATTTATTGTAGTAGTTTCCTTAACGGACGTTTTTTTTTCACTTACGTTCACACTAAACGGACCACATGTTGACAAGTAGACGTTTAAAAAAGCTAACTAGATTTTGACTTTTGATTACAGACAAAACGGAACAAACATCACTAAGAAAAAAGATTAAGAATTATTGCTGATCAAAGTTTGTATTGCTAAAAGAAAATTTGAGAAATACTGATAGCAGTAACTATTTTATACATGTAAGAAAAAGATATTTTATTTATATGACTCTTGGAAATCAAATAATTTAAAAATCTATTATCACTACCACGTTATATAATTAAAAATGAAAACCTATTAACATGAAATTTAACTATTAAAATTTTAAAATAGTTTATTAAAATCTATTTGTAAATTTTAGTTAAAATTTGATATCGATAAATGTTTTAATTATTTTTATCGATGTGATTATTTGATAATAGTAAATTTTGATTTCATATAATAACTTGTATAATACTTTGTTTAATACATTAATACAAACTTTAATTTGTTTTACAGGTAAAATGCTAAAATTTAAATGATGCCTACTATAGTTAATATTATTGGTTTTTTATTAAATATTTAAGTTTCACTTGTTATACTAACGACAAAATTATCATTTTACTCGTTATACCAACGACAAAATTATCGTTATATTATCTACTTTCAAATATTATACTAATTATCTGATTCGCGACAAAAAAATATTAATGATACAATTTTATTGTTTTTATCGATTAAGACATTTTGACTAATATAACATTTATTATATATTATGCAGTTTTGACACGCGTAATATTCATATTTTATAATTTTGATGATTCAATAAGTAAATTTGTTAACTATATATTATTCATGATATATATGATATATATGCCGTCATTGAACCGTTTTTGATAAATTTGTAATAGAAAATGTTATATATATATTTATTTATTTGCTCGATAGTTTTTGTAAACTAAGTAGATACAAAAACAAGATTCTGCATGATATATATAGTTACCGTGTGTATTTAAATCATATAGATTAGCATGGACCTTGATATCGGCATCTAAATGAATATCATATATCTTCCCAAGTCCCAACTATCTCATTTGTAATGTTGATCGTCGTAATCATATTTCATTATTCGTTTTTCCAAGTACAGTAGCCTCCTTCAAAGATGGTTCTTCGTGAATTGGAATATTAGTTTTCACTATCCCGCTTGATTTTTATTTTATTTTGTGATTTTTTAAACAATAAATTTTACTTTTAAAAAACTTTAGGCAAAAAAATCTGGAAATTTGAACAATAGTATCCAAATCTTAATTTTAGCTACATTATATATAAATTTGAAGATCACAATTTCTTAATATATATATATCAGAACTGTGATATCATTTAATCTTCACAAAACAAAATCACAATCAAGCAACGAGATAGTATCATCACCAATGTTTATTCTACCAATTTCATGAAACCACTCTAAAGCAGTTTACAGTCATAGGTTTCGAAATTCTCCATTTCCGTTTCAAAACCTCAAATTTTTAAGTTTTATCTAAAAAAAAGTCTATCGTTTTTCATATGTCAAGATAATAGTTTGGATAGAAATTTTTAATTACCTAAAAAAATATTTTTCTATAGATCAAAGTTATATTCATAATAACATTTTTTTTAATTCATTTTACATAAAATATTCTAGTATTTTCCCTGTATAGCACAAATCCAACAAAGATGTCAAAAAATCTATTCTAAAATAAATCCTAAACCAGAAACAAAATATTACGAGACAAAACAAATTTATATAGAACTAAAAAGAAATCTATTGGTAAATAGCATTAATTATTGCTTACTTTAGTCTAGATTTTTTACATAAATTAGCACACGGTATATCCAAGCAATGATATTTTTTTTATTGTATCTCTTTTTTCTAAAATTTTCTCAATTTTTGTTACTTTTCAATGTAATCATAAAAATAGTAAAAAAAATTAAGCTGCATTGATCTTATATTATTATTATTTCTTTCTACAATAAACTTACAGAAGCACCACTACAACACTGCCAAATGTTATATTTGCGTGTCTACTTTATACGCCTTTAAATATTGAGCTTTCTTGCAGCCTAAATAGTTTATACAGACTTTAAAAAAAAAAAAAAGCAAAAATTATACAAAGACTAGTAGAATGGCTTTTGCTCAATCTTTCTACAACCAAAACTCTGGCTTGAGAATCAGTGTTATGGTTGTGGATGATGATCCTGTTTTCCTTCAAATTATGTCACGCATGCTTGAAAAATCAAAATACAGAGGTAAAATCTTGTTATCATATACAACATGTTATTGATTTTGTCGTAAATTGATAGAAATATTTTTCTGTCTATGTATTAGCTTTGAGCAGGAGAAACAATTAGCTGATTAAAAATTATAATTTTAAGGTTAAAAAATTGTAAATTTTAGCCCTTTCAAAATTTGTATTTTGGAAATTTAAAAATTATCTTTCTAAATCATCCAGATTTAAATTCCAATTACATGCACACATATAAAATTTCAATTGATTTATTCTTATTTGATGATGCTTTTAAACTAATAGTTTGGTTAACATAAATTTCCAACTAATTAACATGCAATGTAAAGTTTTCAAAAAAAATTTGAGGAAGAGTTGATTTAGAAAATAGTAATTAAATTTGTGTTAAAAGAATGCATCGTGTCTGCATACGACATGATTTTTTTTTTCGAAGTTCGGATTTAATTGATGTTCTTTAAATCGACATTATTAACCATTTAGCCTTTCAAATACGATAATGTATCAGCCATTTCACTAAAAATGTTGTGAATTTAAAGTATATGTTTGGCTGATGCTGTGAACATTCTAAAACTTTGTGAAATATTTCAAAACTAAAGTGGAATATATATATAACTAGAACTCGAAATTTCCCAAATTCTTCTCTTTTGTCAAAAGGTATTTTATATATATATATATATATATATATATAAAAAGTAATTATCTTTGGTACTTGATTGAAATGCGTTTTCCATTAATTTGAATTTTATGTTGGTTAAATGGCTTTAGATCCATCGATTATGGAGATCACAGTCATAGCTGTAAAAGACTCGAGAGAAGCATTGTCTACTCTTCAAATCCAACGAAACAATATCGATCTCATAGTCACAGATTATTACATGCCTGGCATGAACGGTCTACAACTTAAAAAAGAAATCACTCGAGAATTTGGCAATTTACCGGTCATAGGTACGTAAGTTTTTGTTTTTTCTAGTACAATTTATATAAACTTATAGTTTATCTGTTGATATAATTCTAAGCTATAACCATGTTTTTCTATACATTCTCTTAAATATGACAGTTATTTCATCGGACTCAAACAAAGAACAGGAGAGTTTAACTTGTGGAGCGATGTGTTTCATTCCAAAACCCATCAAAGCAACTGACTTAACCAAGATTTACCAACTTGCTATAACTTATAAGAGGAATGGTAAGTCCATATTATGGACGGAGCACAACCACCAGGACACAGATCATGTTACTATCCCTCAGCAAATCCAATTGCTTCCTGAACAAGCTAATGTCTTGAAGACTAAGAAGAAGAGGAAGTTCTCACCTCGATCGGTTCCAAGATCCCTCAACAGTTCAAATGGAAGTTGTGTTAGCACCGACGGTTCACGGAAAAATCGAAAAAGGTCTGGTGATGATGTTGAGTCTCTGTCCAAGCCCGCCAAGAAGAGTAAGATTTCGTGGTCGGATTATCTTCATGACCTTTTCTTACAAGCTATCCGACATATCGGTCTTGACAGTAAGTGTTTTGATATTATTTATTTATTTATTATTTTTATATATGAATAAGTCGAACTGTTTATGTTCTTACAATTACAATTTTATCAAAACACCTTAACTAATGTTCTATTTTTGTTTACTAAACTTGAATCTACCAAAGAGGCTGTGCCAAAGAAGATCTTAGAGTTCATGAACGTTGATTACTTGACAAGAGAGAACGTAGCAAGCCATTTACAGGTTTGATCATATATCATTTCAAAAATGTTTTTGGATTTTATGTTTAATATGGGAAAAAGTTAAGAACAAAACATCAATTTATGGAAATCGAACGTTGAAAACTTTTAGCTCATTGTTAGTCAACATTAACAACTCATTAACACTGTTTAACGATGGTTTAAGACTGTCGAAGAGAAATCGTTTAGGTTAAAATGCCTCTTTAGCTTCCGTGAAACAGTGTTATCGAACGTTGATATTGACTAAAGATGGGTCTAAATAGGTTACTTAAATTTGGAGACTTTTATGTTAAATATTTGAGATAGCTAGATCTTTTGTTGTGATTTTTTTTTTTTATAATTTTTCCCCCGTTTAAAACTATAGATCAAGCCATAGATTATATATGCATCATTCTACTTTTTGATTAACTCATCATCGTTTGCTACGCAGAAATATCGGCAGTTCTTGAGGAAAGTCGCGGAAAGAGGTGTGTGCTGCTCAAGCATGCTCTCGGGAAGAGGCATAGACTCGATTTTTGCATATGCTCACATCACAGAGCCGTACTACAACAATTACACAGCCACTACTTCTTGGTACGACACAAGTCTTAACAATAGATCATTCTATTCCAAACCCGGACATGGTTTTGGACAGTCTAGACTCTTATCCAACCCACGTGAGCCCATCCGCTCCAACCAGATGCCTTACAACTACATGAACCGGTCATCCACTTACCAGCCGCTCCGTAATGGATCAAGCTTGACCCTTCCCATCAGTGGCAACCTCAACTTTCCAACCCAACCATCTGAGAACGGAGGAAGAAGAAGCTTTTTTGAATCAACCGGGGTGGCGAACTACACCGGCCAAACATCTCAAGTTCTTGGGTTCGGACAACATGGACCGTTGGCCATTAATGATAATAATTTCGAAAATAACACCGTGAGCAGTTGTGGAAGTCTAACTCCCAATCAACCAGGAAGTGTCAGCCATGGAAGCCTAACTCCTAATAAATCAGATTTGAGCAGCCATGGAAGTTTCAATCCTAATCATCAAGGAAATAGCAGCCATGGAAGTTTAAGTACTTCTAATCAACCAGGAATGAGCAGCTATGGAAGTTCAACTTCTAATCAACCAGGAATTAGCAGCCATGGAAGCCTAACTCCGAATCAACCAGGATTGACTAGCCATGGAAGTTTAACTTCTAATCATCTAGGAATGAGCTTCTATGGAGATTCAACTCCTAATCTGCCAACAATGAATAGCTATGAAAGTTTAACTTCTAATCCACAAGGACTGAACAGCTATGGATGTGTAACTCCTAATCCAGGGCTGAACAACGTTGGAAGTTTAACTCCTAATCCAGGGCTGAACAACGTTGGAAGTTCAACACCTAATCAACCAGGAGCTAGCCACTTATTGTATGGAATCGAGTTGTTCTTAAACAATGAGAATACTGCATCTATGCCTCAGCCACATGCCAATGCAACTACAGAGCCAAATCTTGGAATTCCTGAACTTGAGAATCTCAGCTTATATGATGATCTCGGTAATATTAATGAGCTTCCTTGCGATATAAGCAACTTCCAATTAGATAACAACAAGGTATACGTCTTCACTACGCTAATTTTTCAATAAATATATATACATGAAGTACATGTTGTGAGATTTTTATTTGAGATATAATGCCAGCAGCCACAAGAAGAAGCGGTTTCCACCACCCAATTTGAGCTCCCTGCAAGTTTTCCGACTGAACTGAATGAGATTTTCTCTCCTGGAGAAGAAGGTGACTGGACCTTTGTGAACATAAACCAGGTACTTCCATATTCTTATTTAGGATTTAACAATTGCAAGATTAAATTTGAATCAACGTCCTACCAAATATTAGATTATCATATGTTTAAGAATCTATTATGGAAAAATTTCTAGAAATTTAGTAGATTTATGCTACTGATCTTATAAGCAGAGCCTTTGTTTCTAGACACCTGTTCAATATATCTATATATCGATGGATTGAATACTTTGTAATATTTATATCTTACTGACTTATATATGATTTTGTTGTGAAGGGACATTCTGATGGAGAAACATCAAACATATTTGCTGCTCCGGAGACGAACTCTCCAATTATCAACATAAACCCTAATCAAATTCAGGTACCTCTAATTTATATCATTCTAAAATGTCTCCATGCAACTATGATACTTAATATTAAGGAAATGATTTCTTAAATCAACTCTAAACCGGGACTTGATTTGTTAGGAACGAGATGATCCAGATTTTATCGATTGGTCGTTATTGGATCCGCAGGTAAAACAATAGAACAAAAACTAAAAGAAATTATTTGTCTACAGTTTATGAGTCGTATTAAGTAATTTTTGGTTTACTTTTTCGTATATAGGACTTGGCTAATGAGTTCGACTTCATGGACTCTCTGTTCAACAATGACATGAATTGAAAAGGGTTCCTCCAAGCCGTTCTCAAAGCGATGTGAAGAAATAAAATCGGCAATGCACAGTACTTTTTTAAGCAATTAACATATATATAAGAAACATATAGAAGTATGGTTTTGGTTGTGTAATTTCTAAGTGTTGGATATTCTGTCTTTCTTTGTTCAGCAAGTGTTGGGTACTATGTTATGTCTCAGAACCTTTCAATAAATATAAAGCATCTATATTATTGTGTCATAATATTATATATATATATATATATATATATATATATATGGTATCAGAGCTTTTGGTAACATAAAATTGTAAACATAATTTGTAACATACATATATATATATATTATGACACATAGCACTTTATAAATATATATGATATGTTCATGCATGGTCAAAAAATTAGATTCTGAATTAATTTGATTTTTCTTGTTCTTTGAGTATCGGGAAAAATATACTTACTCTGTCTTTAAATCTGTGTCTTTATTAATTTTATTAAAAAAAATTGTTTTCCTAAAAAAACAGTTTCTTATATTAAACATTTCATGGAAAAGCTGAAACTTTTTAGTTTTGATTAATCTGAATTATAACCAAAATTAAAGAATATCTGAAAAAAAATTTCATCACAAAGTACCAGTACTATTTTTCTCAAAATAAAACGTGTAATGATATTTTTTTTGTCGACTAGGCTTAAAAATCTTCAAGAAATGCATTATATCTTATGTCCATAGTAGTATAAAAATCTTTAATATATAAAGGGAAATGTAGATTTTGCTAGATCTAATACTAAATAAACTTATTTAACTTTGCAATAAACAAAACTGGTAATGTATCTCTAATAAGAGTCCTTTTTTTATATCATTTCTTGTAGGCATGTCTCAGGTCTAGATGCATGTATGTACTCCCTAAAAAAAAAAAAAAACTCTTTGTTAATCAATTTTCAACTAATTCATTTAATGTCTTTATGCCTCGCTTGTTCTTGGACCAACGAATTACAGAATTTCTATGGTCCCTAAGATGTGCTAGTTTATTTGCTTTCTATTCCTAAATCCACTCTTATCAAAAAATTTATCAGTCATATATATTATTTTTATATATTAATATTGCAAGGCGTGTATAATTTGATTGTTTGTATGAACGTTTGATAGTTTCATTAGGAGTCCTAAAAATAAACGTTTGGTTTAATGTCAAGTCATCAAAGTCCAAAGTCATATAATCTAATAGATCTAAAATGTATTTGAATATGGACTTATAAAGATCAAGCGGTTATGCCTTAAGTTGTTTGATTCTATTAATCGCTTTTAAATCCCAATAGACATTCATATTCGGCGACTTCAGTAATTATATAGCAACTATACATATAAACAAAAAAAAATTAATCAACATATTTCAGAGAAATACTCAAAGTAATATTTTCTCCTTTTTTTCTTACGTTGAAAACTAAATTAACCTAATGTTTTTAAAAATAGGCTAATGTGACATAAATATTATCTCTCTAAAAAATGTTAGAATCTCATTCAACTAAAATTTAATCCCCTCTATATGCAAAAAAGTTCCATATATTATTCATCTAACTCCTTTCTTTTTTATGTTATACTTGTTAACTCTGAAAAAAAGCCTTAAGCCGTAGATTGAGTTGTGAAAGAAATTAGTATAATCTTTAGTTTTCACTTTAACTCTTTTCGAACAGCTTCTCATTGTAGAAAGCAAAGTCTTAAAGTAATTTTTCCTATGTTTTCTTTGAGAATAAAACAGGTGTTCTTATTGGGAAATCATGTCACAATCGACTATCTGATGTATCCTAGAAATGATCCATTAAGTCTTATTGGTTACCAAAAAGGCTTAATCATATCTAAAGATCAAAAATCTTGTAAAAATACTACTTCCTCCGGATTTATTTAGTTGTCGTTTTAAGATTATGCACATCAATTAAGAAAACATTAATTGTATTAATTTTTCAATATAAAAACATCATTAATTATTTATTTAAACACAATTCAACCAATAATAAAACAAATTGCATAATAAAATTAATTATAAAAAATAAAAAACTAATAAATATTGTATTGAAACTGAAAATGACAACTAATTTAAAACAAATAAAATTCTCTAAAACGATAATTAATAAAAAAAACGGAGAGAGTAAATTTTAATTAATAATAATATGATTAACTAAATCCTAAATCATTTCCTTAATGAACTTTATTGTACTTTGCCTTTTCTGATGTCAACAGACTATTGGATTAGGTATTTAGTGATGCAAAGATTCCTCTTTCTCTCTCTCTCGATGGACTTTGTAGCCTTAACAGGAAGCAATGAATATAATTTTGGTCACCAGAAGTTACCAATTCCACAAGAAACATATTTCTATGTTATGATTGGCATGTGTTACCAACATGCCTGCTTTGTTTTCTTATTCTTTTTTTTTTTTCTTTTCTCTTACATCTTATTGCTTTGATTTTATGGGTTTGACTATTTAATTTGATGCATAACAAGAGGAACAAAGAAACAAAACAAACGGAATAATAAACTACACAAACTATCAAAAGTTTATGATATATAATAATATGGTAAAAAAAATATTAACACTTTTACAGAATTTTAAAAGGATCAAAAATAGTATATTTCAAACAAAATTGTTCAAATAGAAAAAACTAATCTATACGAATTCATCCACACAATTCATAAAAAAAAAAAAAATATGCAACCACCATTATTTCACTCTTATTTTTTTCATGGTAATTGTTCTTTTAAAACAAAACAAAGATGAATGTAAATGATAATACGCACCACATATGATGCATTCACCACTGAACAGATGAACATTCAAAAGACTATGTCTCCATTTTCATTAAGTAGATTTTGATGAACGTTTGCAATGTTTTACGTTAGAGTTTGTCCTTTTCATACAACTGAGTAAAGTGAAGTGATTATATAGTGAGTATTAATTAATCGAGTTCAGAGGTCGATTTTCATTTTATTGTAGCTAAGTTTAACCATTTGTTTAGCATTCATATAACCACAAGATACATCAAGAAACATTCAATATAACAGTTTTATAAGACTAATAGACTACTGCAACTTTTTGGTAACTTTTACGGTAATAGTAAAGAAATTTCAAATCTTTAGGTTGTACAATGATAGGATGATGATGATGAAACGCTATATGTTGAAACTCCCCTGTTATTTGTGAATTGACTTAAAGGGGAGACCAACAAAAATATTCTTAACAAACCGCCAAAAAAAAAAAAATTGCCAAGATTAATCACAAATCATACACCCTCAACAATAAAAACCACTTATGAAATCGGAGAAAAAAAAAAGATATTTTTATCGTGTATGTAACTGGCTTAATCGAAGAATTCCCACTTGAATCTTGGAGGGACCGGTTTAACCGGTTCGACCGCCTTTGCCGTCGATGTGGAATCAAACATCGTCTCCCAATTATTAGTTACAATCGCCGGAGTACCTGATGAGGAGGCGCCAGAATTCCTCGGCTCCTCCTCCTCTTCCTCCACAAACGACAACAAATCGCGTTGCTGATATTGCGTTTGCGTTTGCGGTTTGTGGCGGACCGATTTGTTAATTTCGACTTTTTTGGTAGAGTTTTTGACCTTCAAGCCGTCGAGTGCCTCAACGTACTTTTGAACTCTTTTCACCTTCCATAATCCAATCCAATCGAATGAAATCATAAATCAATCAAATCAAAAATTCGAAACTGAATCAATGGTAAACTTTTACCTGCATCTTCCTCTTCAATTTCACATCTCCATCAGCAGTTATCGCATCGAGTCTCAACAATTGATTCATCAACATCTCAATCAGATTCACCAAACTCTTCTCTTCAACTTTTCCTCCTTTGTTAATCACTGTCTCGAACGCCGACACCTACAATCGAAAAATCAGAATCTCAGATTCGAACTAGAGTCGTCGCCGGTAAAGCTCTGTTTTTTTTCTTTCTTGTTTTGGTGTACCTGTCCGGCAAGCCTGTCGACTTCGAGACTAATCTCGGAGATTGATTTAGAAGCTTTTTCAATGGCGGCGTTTTTCCTTTTCTCGAGGAGACGTTTCTCCTGAGAAATTGGATCTTCTTTAAGAACAAGCTTTGACCGATCTTTAACTCCACAAAGATCTAGAAACATCTTCGAATCTCTCTCTTTGTCTTTGTACAAAATCTTCATGTCTTCGTGGTGAAGTCTGGTCTGATCAGACAATAGCTTCTTCAGCTCTCCTGTAACAATAATAAAATCCTTTTGCTTTATAAAATGCCGAATTTTAAAATGCAAAAATTGAGCTTTTGATGTTTGGTTACCAAACGTAGATTGGGAATTGATGTTGATCTCGAGGTAAATTGATCCGTATTTGACACGGACACGAATGACACGTGGCACATCGGAGCTCTGATCCGTCCGCCTTTGTACAATCATTCCTCCAGGTCGGGACTCCCACTCATTGCCGCTACTTCCGCCGCCGCCGCCGCCGCCACTGACGGACGGTGTCGTCCCTGTTTTCATTTTCATCATATTCTATAATATTCTTTGCTTCTACTTGTCTCTGATCGATCAGAGAGATCTCACATGTTATAAAGAATCCAAATTTTGAGAGAGAGAGAGAGAGACAGAGAGGGAGAGAGAGAGATAGGAGATAAAAAGCAATGAATATGATTTCCGAACACGATCAAGAAGAAGAAGAAGCAAGAAGAAGAATAAAGAAACGTCTGAACAAAGGGAAGTAAATACATTTTTTTTTTGCAAGTTTATTTAAATAAAAAATACGTAAATAAAGAGTGACAGCTAATGGTATTGTTGTTATGTCTCATCATCAGTAATCACACATATGTATACATATATATATATATATATATATATTTATATGATTCTCACATTTTATTTGAATTATTAATATATGTATCTGTTTTTAAAAAAAATAAAATCTACGTTCTGTATCAGCTTGATCGTCTTTCTAGATACAGATAATCCATCGTCGTCAATGTCAATGGTAAAAATCAAAGATATTGTAACTGAGATTAAATACTGGTTTCTTTTGTTTCAGATAGAAAACTACAAAAGTAGTTAATGCTCAAAAACCGATCGAGCCTATACTGCTATCAGTAATCTTCCTCTTATTTTGTTAAAAGCAAACAAAACTTTGCAGCGAAAAATGGCAAAGTTCTTTAAACAAAAAAGACAAATGGCAAGTTACAGTATCCTTATCCACCTGTAGTGGTAACAAAGCACTGGAACAAGAGTCATTTTCTGGTGACCACATGAGTTTCAGTGTCAGACTCAGAACAACAGCTTACCGACAAAGACACTCATCAACTGTTTCAAAACAGGCCCGGCCCAATAGTTTTGCTTTCCGTGGGATTTACCAATTTATTTTTGGGGGCTCTTAATTTCCGTGATATTTCAAAAAAAAAAAAAATCGCTTTATAGAAAATTTTTCTGAATGAGTTGAAAAATATCTACATAAATAAATAGATAATAAATTAATGTAATTTTTGTTGATTCCTCTGTTGATCAGAACTTATTTATATCCAACAACCACTTCCCTTTGGCAAACGCAGCAAAGCTGCAAGAGTGAGAGAAATAAAAAGGTATACTGAGAATCATTGAAAAATATTTAGCAAAGAATAACATTTCACAAAATTACTGAAGCTATGACATAGCTTTGGGCACAAAATACTTCTGATATTACTGAACGATATATCAGTAGATTGTTGAATCACATTTTAATTGTTTTTCCTTTCTATACTAATTATAAGAAGTTTAAAAAACCAATATTAAAAGTTATTATATCATTCTCTTAAATAATCGCTTAAATTTATATTCTTGCTCAGATGTATAACTTTATTTAAAATGTAAAAGCTTTATAATATGATTGGATCTATTATCAAGGAGTGAACATATCAAATCTTGATGTAAGTAATAGAAGAAAATTCTTTTTCCAAAAGAAAAGTAATAGAAAAAGAGGGAGAAAGTCGGTACTAACCTTACTCTTTTTGAGCCAAGGACGAATGCAATCTTCGTGGTATTTGTGAGTACAAGGTAAAATGGTAAGTTTCTCTCCCCGAGTATAATCTGACAGGCAAATCATACACCTGTTTCCCCACGGTATTGTCATTTTTAATTCTTAACAGCATTTATATAATCAAATTGGTTATGTTATTTTACTCCCCTTCAATTTTCTACCTTCCATTTTTTGGTAATTTAGAAATAATAATATAGTGGGTGAATATATAAGAGATGATAAGAATACTATCCTTTTAATTTTTAAAATCAGAAAAATGTATGTACGTAAGTTTAAGGGAAAAATAAAAAAGAGAAAGAAAGATAGTAATAATACTTTTTATCTTCTATAGAATGTTGAAACTTGATGGTAGGTAATTGAGAAAATTCTCTCTCTGTTAATCCTACACCTGTTTCTCTTTCAGGCTCTTCAATCCGTCGGATTATATCCTGTGATGTAAAAACGATTACAAAACTCTACAATATAAATATATGAAACCAAATATTTACTGGTCCAGATTATTTATGTTTTTGTTTTTTTGAAGGGTCTGTTATTCTTCCATCTACAAACTCGTGTCGTCAGCTGAATTTTTTCTTGAGGTATAATCATAAATATACTAATTATCTTGATGATTAAATTACCGATAACTATTAATACTCTATCCGTTTCACAAAGAGTGTCGTTTTAAGGTTTTATTTTTGTTTCACAAAGAGTGTCGTTTTATATTTTCAATGCAAAATTTTCAATAATATTCTAGTTTTAACCCTATTAATTTCATGTATTTATTAGATAAAAATAAATTATTTAATATATTAATAAAAGACAAAATTGTATTTTTAATATTTTTTTTAATATGTGTGAAAAATGTTAGAATTACACTCTTTATAAAACGGATGAAGTACAATATTATTTTTTTGATGAATATAAACTAGTGTATGTTAAATTGTTGACTAATACAGACAAAAACCAAATCATAGATGAAACACAAAATGCTTGACAAAAACTTATGGAAAGCAAGACAAGACGCAGTTACATGAGTTTTATTTAAATCAATAACCGGTTTAATAAAAACAGACGAGTCGCTGCGATGATTAAAATAACTCAACGGAAACAATACTTAACCATTTATTTTATTTTTGTCTTGAGAGTGAATATATTATTGATTTTTTCAGGCAAAAAAAATGATTAGGGGTAATGAAATTGAAACAAAATTAGAATTGTTTTAGATTCTTACATCGACTAAATGTTGGTTAGGTGGATATCGATCCCCAGAGTGTTCTGCAAACGTATATTAGATATTAATTAACCGGTGATAAACTGAACTGGTTTTTGGTCTAATAGACCATTATTATATATATATATATATATATATATATATATTGATTGCATACGGTGTTAATGGTCATGAAAATTAATATAGTATATCGTTATAGTCCAAAAGCATATGAAAAACTGCTTAGGATGATAGACCTACAAAAAAAAAAAAGAGAGGAGATGATAGACCTGAGATTGAAGGAGGAAGGGTGTCAATGGGCATCGGCCTGACTATTGGTCTCGACCAATTTCTTGGACTTTGATTTTGAAGTTGATGATGATAAATCATATGACAAAAGTGTTGGGAGGAATGATGTTCCGCTGAAATGGAATTAAAAGGTATAAACATGGTAGGTCGGTTTTGATGCTGACAATAACTAATCGTAGGACAAATGTTTTCGGACAAGTGCTCCGGTGATACGAGCGGTGGAGAATCATCGTTTCTACCATGTTGTGTGCGATATTCCTCTATTCTCTTGGTGATTTCATCAGCTTCACCGAATAAGTAATTGTATAAGCTGGAACTTTGGGAATCATCCATCTTTTTATATTTCTCCAAAAGTTATATAATATTTTGGGGAAATGATTTTTTCATTGATTTTGTTGTTTGGCATGACTTTTTATATGTATCGTACTTTTACATTGAACTGCTTGCTCCCGTGATAATGATTCTTAAGTAAAGCATGCAAAAATCTTTAAGACGGATGTCAGAAAGAACATAGATAGTTAAAACTTAACCATAATGAGACTACAGTAATATTTTTTTTGGTTCAAATTTCATCTCAACTCCTTATATACATTCTCTATAACTACCACAAACTTTTGGTTCAGGAGTTCCAAAGTTTAGTAATATTATTATTTTTTTGGGTGGAAAGTTATTAAGAGTTCTCGTAATGTCGCTTCTGATTTTTCCAAATTTTTGTTTTTTGATAATGATGTTTAAACGAGTTGATTCACGATGTTTTAATTTTGTTTTAAAAATCACAATGTTATATATTAGTTAATCTATAATAGAAATCACACCGTCACAGACTTGGATATTATTTCCCCCTAGCTTTTGGTAGTTTTTATCATGCCAGACTTATGAAGTAACTAGACCAAGATCATAGAAAGTATTACTTTCGTGATCTGATTATTCTCAAAGCTTAAGACTATATATATATATATATATATAGACTGAATTCACCGATCCCAACTTAAAAACATAACAAAAGAAACAATAAATATAGTATCTCAATAGAATGGAGTCTCTCAAATCCTTTGCAGCTATTCTCATTGTGATGTTTCTGACCATGGGGGCTCTAGAGATTGGGCCTAAGGTTCAGGCACAAGAATGCAGAGACAGTCTGACCAATATGCAGGTATGTGCACCATTGGTTCTGCCCGGTGCGGTCAATCCAGCCCCGAACTCCAATTGTTGCACTGCCCTCCAATCAACTAACAAAGATTGTCTCTGTAACGCTCTTCGAGCAGCTACCACACTTACCTCTCTTTGTAACCTCCCCTCTTTTGATTGTGGTAAGATGCTCAATCCTTTTTTTTTTTTTGAGAAATATGTTTAGATGACTCTATTTAATAATATGAATGCAATGACAGATTTGTAGTTCGATTAGTCCGTCAATAGTGTTTTGTTTTTTGTCGTTATATTTTTGTGGACTGTGTTTTGTGAACTGTGTTTTGTGAACTGTGTTTTGTGAACTGTGCAGGTATAACCATATAACTATATAAGTGCCTCATCTCAGCAACGGTCAGTTCCGAGGATTTGGGTAGTTTGGTCTGCAAAAAACAAGACGAATAAAATAAAATAATTGAAAATAATGGGAAATAAATTACTATGATTTGGTTTCCTTTTTTCCTTTCTTTTTTGAATTTGGTCTGTTGTTCCGTTTGTTCAATACTTATGACAGATCTACTGAATATCCTTTTCACAATTACTACTATATATTACCGGAATATTTTCTATAGTTGGCATCATTATCGACTTGCTTTATAATCGGCGTGGTATTGTTTACATATGCAACTTCAGGCAAAACTCAATTCAAATTCTTAGTTTCAAATTTTGAAAAAGTGAAAACTGAAAACTACCAATAAATATTAATCACATTGACAAAACAAAATAAAACAATGCAAGGTAAAAAGGAAAACGGATTAAATCTCGTTAAGTTGAACCAAACCAGAGATTTTGATTTGGAGTGGACCGGAGCCATATACCCATTGACTTGTATTGACACATGGCTTTTTGAAACGCGTATAACCAACGCGCATAACTTAGGCGCGTGTAAGCTCACTCTATATATCTCATTACACGCTCACTTTGAGCTTCTCCATTCCCAAGTGTTCTTTGCTTCTTCTTTTTTCAGACTTGTCCAAAAAATAATTATTCAAAGCGAAAAAAAATTCCGACAAAAATTTCAGTAGATTTTCCCGGCAATGAAGTAACTATGGGTTTCTTCGGACGACTGTTCGGGAGTAAGAAGCAAGAAAAACCGGCACCGACGAAAAACAACAGACGAAGATGGAGCTTCACCACCAGATCCTCAAATCAGGCGACGGCTTCATCGGCGGCGTCGTCTACTCATCCAAGCAGGAGACGTGCCGATGAAGAAAGCTTAGACGCCGATAAGCATGCTATAGCCGTTGCGGCTGCCACCGCCGCGGTGGCTGAGGCGGCACTAGCTGCTGCTCATGCGGCGGCGGAGGTTGTGAGACTTACCGGAAGAGGCGGCGGTAGAACCTCGTCGGTAACTGAAACTAGTTGGATTAATCGCCGGTGGGCTCAAGAGTATGTAGCGGCGATGAAGATTCAATCAGCTTTCCGTGGCTACTTGGTTAGTAACTTCCTTAAATTATCATCTTGACACTGAAATTCGAAATTTGAAATCTTTAATAATGTTTTGAAAATAAATATATCCCCCAAATCTTTTGAGCTAAGTGTGAAATAGCTGTCTGATGTTGATTTTTCTACTTAACCCCAAATTTAAATAATTACTGAAAACTAGAAAGGATGAGCATAATTTGTATTTTTGTATTGGTCCCCGGAAAATACTATGAAAAGAGACAAATTAATACTTGTTAGAAACCGATACGATTCTCTCTACCGACATTATTTAGTGGTCTCGGCTACTATCGATTAAAAATTCTCCATTTTGGTTCCGAAAATATGCATATATTATCTCAAACAATGTCTTACCTAACCGGATTCAGCTCAGATGCTTATCCTTCAATCTACGAGTACGAAAATTCAGAATTTTATATTTTCGGAGTAAACCATAACCAACATTTTTTAAGGTGTCAACTTCTTTCCTTTTTTTTGTTTTTTATTTATCCCTTCACGTTTACTATAGTGGGCCTACAGATGGGTTTTTAAGCTTTATGAGCTTGAAAGTTGCATCCTTTTTCTCACCTTTTATTATCAAAATTGCAACCTTTCTTTTTACAATGTTGATTTTTTTTTTTCCATTTTTTGGGGCAAAATTTGTTTTTTTCCCCTTCAAATGATAATTGATAGGTTACGTGGTTCAAACGCACATAATTTAGAGATTCTATAATCTTATTGGTCGAAAACTAATTAGGTGTGTATAACCCATTTAGAATAATTGAAAGTAGATGAGAAACTAAAAGTAAATTTAATATTCCTTTCTAAATTTTCTTGCATCTCCTTTTGGTATAATTGTAGGAAATAGGTAATTTATTTGTATAGTAAAATTGTTTTTATTTAGGCGAGGAGGGCGTTACGAGCACTGAAGGCATTAGTGAAGCTTCAAGCGTTAGTGAAGGGGCACATAGTGAGGAAACAAACGGCTGATATGCTGCGTCGGATGCAAACGCTGGTTCGGCTCCAAGCTCGCGCTCGAGCATCACGTTCTTCTCACGTTTCAGACTCATTCCATTCGACAATGTTGATGGTCCCTTCTTCCCCACAATCTTTCCACGCACGATGCGTATCAGAGGCTGAATACAGTAAAGTCATTGCCATGGACCAACACCACAACCACCGTTCCCAGATGGGTTCGAGCCGGCTATTAGACCAATGGAAGACAGAGGAAACTCTATGGAACGCACCGCGCTACAACGAAGATGATGATAAGATCTTAGAAGTCGACACTTGGAAGCCTCACTTCCCTTCCTACCACAAGGAGTCACCAAGGAAAAGAGGATCTCTTATGGTCCCGACAAGTGTGGATAACAGTCCACAAGTTAGGTCTAGACCAGGAAGCAGCAGTGGCGGTTCAAGGAGAAGAACACCATTCACGCCTACGAGAAGCGAGTACGAGTACTACTCCGGGTATCACCCTAACTACATGGCTAACACCGAGTCTTACAGAGCAAAAGTCCGGTCACAAAGCGCACCAAGACAGAGGCTACAAGAGTTATCTTCAGAGAGTGGATACAAGAGGTCAGTGCAGGGACAGTATTACTACTACACGGCGGCAGCAGAACGATCGTTTGATCAGCGCTCGGACAATGGGATCGCAGGTTACGGTGGAATTTCTGATCAGTTAAGTCGAAACCAAAGTGAGAAATCGAAGATGTATTCTCCGTTTCTCAAATCTGATCCTATTTTGTATTAATAGTCGAAAGGATAAAAAAAAGTGAGTGGAATTGTGTAAATTAGATTTCGACACACAAGTACAGACAGAGATCAATCTCTGTACTGAATTTTCTTTTGACTGGATCCTACGGTACAGATCTCGTACCAACAAGCTACGTCTATGGATAGGTGTCCACACTTGTCTATTAAAAAAATTTCAATAATTTGTAGTGATGTCAAGTCAAGACGTGGGAATCACAACTTAGAGCAGTGAGTTGATTGATAACCTTTCCTATTAAACAAAATATATTTTTCTCTTCTCTTTTTTCACGGTAAAAAGACAGTCACACACACACACACACACAAGCAATCACACAATCTCCTGAAACACTATCAAAGGAAACGTACCTACGCATATATGCATTTACAAAGTAAAACATGTTGCTTACTTATCAGGCGCCTTAACAACTCCATCTTGAGGTGGGAATACAGCGCAGGTAACGACACCAGCTGCAGTGATGATTCCCGTCTTCTCCTCGGAATAGCATCAGCAGCGCCACCACGAACCTGCGCAAACCTCCCACAAACATTTCTTACATTGGGATTTTAACATTGAAATAAGAGAGTGATTTGATTCTTGGCACTGCAAACTTTACCCGGCAATGAATAGAGTCAGAGATAGGAGCCACAATAGGTATTGGTAAGGCTTGTACTTGGATGTCAGACGTGTGCCTTGTGGCATATGCTCTCTTGCTAACCACCTGAACTGGGGACGAGCCAGTAGAACAAAACCGAGGAGAAAACCCGATAGAAATCCACCCACATGAGCAAAATTATCAACGTGAGGTAGAATCCCAAGAGCCAGGTTTATCAAAATGACAAACAAAAGCGTCAAGAGCGCCGCAATCTGTACTTGTGCGTCCAAAAAAAAAAGAAAACAAAGTCATTAACCCGAAATCACAAATGGTTTAACCTTCCATGTTCAGATCAGAACTTTTACCAAGAGGCACATGAATTATTAGCAACTTTTCAAAAGGAAATACAGATCGCTAACACTTCCTAAGTGTTGAGAGATTAACCTTGTTAGAGTAGATTGTCCAGTTGGTGAGAAGTTCGGAAAGCATTGAGCCAAGGAGGCCAAAAAGGGCACCAGAAGCTCCAACAGAGATACTGTTTCTGATAAACAGCGAGGACAGTATGCTTCCTCCAATTCCTGATAATAGGTATATAACTCCAATCCTAACTTCAAATCCAGACATAAACCAGTTTCAGATTTCTATGACACGAGCAAATGGAATTACATAAGCTGATACACTTGATGTCATCTTTTCAAAGTAATAAAGGAGGCAAATGAATGCATACCGAAACCAAATTGCTGCTCAAGGCGAATACCAATGAAGACGAGGCTTAGCATATTAGCTGCAAGATGAATAAGACCGGCGTGTAACCATATACATGTCAAGAGACGCCAAGCTTCATGCTTCTCCACAACTTTGTACCAATCAAGTGATCCTAACTTCTCCAATCTTCAATAATGAAATCAAACATAAATGTTATAATCTCAAAACTCTATAGAATTTCGAATCCGATCTCAAGAATACCTAATCCAAACTATTCAATTCATAGTAACCGACAAAACGAAGATTCACTAAAGATTCTGAAACAGAACTAAAAAAAACCCTAAATCAACATCGCTACCAAATCGAAAAAACGAACCGCAAAATTCGGATGAAACGTACGTGCGAGAAGACGGACCAAAGAGAGGATTACTCCGGAGAGGCTCGAAGGAGAGTCTCCCGAGGAACCTGGCGACACAGTGCTGGTTGGGACCATGAGACTCGGAATGCTCCGGGCAGTTATTGACGAACATCACAACGACGAAGACTATCACGTTAGCCACGACGAACATCGGAACAAGCCACGACGTCCACTGCGAAGACAACGCGTCGTCGCTAAATTCAGAGTACACCAACGGTGCCGGCCTAGGCGGCGGTCCGATTCCACTCCGGTCACCGCCTCTGCCTCCGATCCCACGATCCTTCGCCGACATTCGATTCTCCAGATCATCTCCTACCGCCATTAGTGATCGCTCTTCTCTCTCTCGCTGTGTGATTTGTTTATTGCTTTCTTCTTTTTTTTTGATGGTTGGGTTTTGCGATTGAAGGCGGGTAAGAAAGGGTTAAAACCTTCTTTGAGAGTGGGTGAGAAAGTGGGTTTCTATTAACCAATGAAACAATTACACGTGTCTATTACATACGTTCTTCTCGTTTTTGCATTTCACGCTAAAGTTTTGATGTGACATAAAACTATTTTTGAAGTTCTAAACAAGGTTTCTTTGGATCGTTTGGATGGATCTTCTAACATGTTTTTTATTTTTGGAATCATGTGTTTTTCAACTTGGTTGTAAAAGAAGAAATAGAAATATTTTTTAAAAGAAATATATTTTAAATAATTATTTTCATTAAAAAATCTAAAAACAGATATATTGTACATGATCGAATGTATATATTATTTAAAAACAGTTTTAAAAGGAGAATATTTATTTTTGTTTTCCGTTGACTAATTGAATTCAAAGATCAAATCTACAAATATTTTATACTGAGATTTCCTTCTGGATATCTTGTGCAGCATATCACCTGTGTCGAGTGTAAATTTCAGTTTCAATTGAGCTTAACTATGTATATAATGATAGTTTTTCTATCTAATAGTTTATCAAATTTAGGTAACCATTCTCGACCATTGGGTTTATAAGGAGGAAGATGTCATAAACCAATTCACGCCTTACTTTGTTAATCCTGATTTAGGATTTGTTTCTCAGAGATGGCTCGGTGCTCTCCAGAAGGGCATTCCAAAGTAATGAAAATTCTGTTTTTTTTTTTCCTTTTCCTTTTCCTTCTAATTTTTAATTTTTGGTTTGGTTTTACACCTAACCGGGTTATTAACTCTTCTACTTGTGGAGTGTTCGATCCCGTCTATCATTCCAACTTACTTAACCTATAAACCCTTATGGTTTACTCATTCTGTACCGGAGTACACGGTGTAACCAGACAAAATTGGAAACGGCTCCATTCGGTGAACAAGTGGGAATGGTTTACTAATTCTGTTTCCGGTCAATAACATCAGAATGTTCACCCGAGAGACCCGGGATGTGAGCGGGGTCCTTTGTGGTTTGGTCAGCGCTACCGGTTAGGCAAGGACGCAAGCCAAACCAGAAACAACCTTTGGTTTGATCAACCGTGCGAAAAAAGCAAGACATGTGGAATGATCTACGAGCCGGGATATGAAAGAAGTGATTTGTTTGAACAGAAGCCTTGATTCAGGGAATGAAGTCTACGTTTTCAGCATCGAAGTACGTGATTTGATACGGTTTAGCTATATCGGTTATGAATAAAACTCTTCTTCTTTTAACAGCTCAATTTTGAAAATAATTTGTGCCAAACATATGAATTTTTAAAAGGAAGAAGCAAACTCGAAGATGTATTAAAAAAAGACGCCACGTGGCTAAGTGGGACAAGTGAAAGTGGGAAGTCGACGAAGCAACGAAGCAAAGGGAGGAGATTTAGGGACAAAACAGGAAATTCAGGTTATGTTCCGCCTGCATCTTCCTTGTCTTTCTTTTTGTCTCACACGGACAAATTTAGAGAGAGAGAGAGAGGTCGCGTGCTGTTTCAGTATCATATCTAATCCCGGATTTTTTCCCTCTCTGTATCTTTCCACGACGGTTGACCTAATTTTTCGTCACATCCAATTGAATTCGAGATAGAGAGAAAGAGAAAAAGCGGATTCTCATCTGAAGAATAGAGAGAGAGAGAGAGAAATGGGTAATTCGTTTGGATGTTCGGCGTCCGGCGAGAGATTGGTGTCGGCGGCGAGAGATGGTGATTACGTGGAGGCGAAGATGCTCCTCGATTGCAATCCTTGCCTTGCCAAGTACTCCACTTTTGGTGGTCTCAATTCTCCGTTGCATTTCGCCGCCGCCAAAGGCCATAACGAGGTTTCATTTCCTTTCCATACTCTTCCGCTAAATTTCCCTAATTTTTCAAACTGATTTCTTTTCTCTTTGACCATCGTTAGATCGTGGGGTTGTTGCTCGAGAACGGAGCAGATGTCAATTCGAGAAATTATTGCGGCCAGGTATCCGAGATTCAGTTTTCTCTAGTCGATTTTAGGATTTCAAAATGTTGAGCCTTTGGCTTTTATTTTTTGAGCTGATTCGTGAATTCATCAAGTTCGATTCTTTCCATTAGACGTCTATTTGTAAGTTAATTTAGGAGATCTTGTATCAGTAGTTACGTGTGAGATCTTTGGCTAAGTTTGAGCTAACAGAGTAACAAATCGTTTTCGTTTATATGATCCATGCTTGACGAGAGATTGCAAATCCATGGCTAAAAATTTGATTTTTATCAGATGAAAATTCAACCTTGCTAATGTTAATGCTTTTTCATTCCAAATCCAGTCGAATCTAGGAATACGCTAAGTAAGGGTAATTAATCTTTGTTTCAGACGGCATTGATGCAAGCCTGTAGATACGGACATTGGGAAGTTGTGCAAACTCTTCTGCTCTTTCGATGCAATGTGAGTTGGTTTTCATCGATAGTTGAAACAAAACTCTACAGTTTGAATCAGTTTTTTTTTTCTTTTTTCTTCATATCATCTTATATCTCTTCTTTTCTCAAGGTTACAAGAGCTGATTATTTAGCTGGAAGGACAGCGCTTCATTTCGCTGCTGTGAATGGTCACGCCAGGTGTATTAGACTGGTCTTGGCAGACTTTGTACCTAGTGAGAAACTAAACTCTCTTCCTGAGACTGGTGTCGTCACAGCGAGGAACAAATCCGAGCAAAGGTTTTTTGTTTGGAAACCGTCTTCTATGTGTTGTAAAGGTTTGATTGATGATATATTAGTTCCAACAAACAAAAAAATTGTCTTCTGGTGCAGTGCATTGTCTAAATTTGTGAATAAGGCGGCTGACGGTGGAATCACAGCTCTTCACATGGCTGCCTTGAATGGATTATTTGATTGTGTGCAGCTTTTGCTTGATCTTGAAGCGAATGTTTCCGCTGTGACATTTCATTATGGAACATCAATGGACATGATTGGTATCCGCTCTCTATCCGCCATTATGTTTCTTGGCTACAGGATTCTTTGTATACTGCTCCCAAGGTGACAATCTTGGTCTTGATAACTGTTTCAGGAGCCGGAAGCACGCCTTTGCACTATGCCGCTTGTGGTGGGAATCTGAAATGTTGTCAGGTAAGAACACTAGTAAGTGAGAATGTTCTCTGTATTTTGGACACAAAGAGTTGTGAGAATCTCCATTTTCTGTGTTCTCCATAGATTCTCCTTGCTAGAGGTGCAAGAAGGATGACACTGAACTGCAATGGGTAAATTATTCCATCTTAATCTTCTAATGTTTTCCTTCGTGTTCAAAACCAGTTTCGGGGAAATATTTGACGTTGTTAGAATGGAAATTTCCCTTTTCAAAAAAATGTTTGTAGGTGGCTACCTATTGACATAGCAAGGATGTGGAGTCGTCATTGGTTAGAACCGTTGCTTTCTCCAAACTCGGATGTCGTCATTCCAGGGTTTCCTCATTCCAACTATTTATCACTGCCCCTTTTGAGTATACTCAACATTGCAAGGTAATAAAGAAACCTTTCTTAGGACCAAACTCTAGCGATCCAAGCCTATGGCCTCAATATGACAAGGTTTACTTTGCCTGCAGAGAGTTCGGATTGCAGTCAGCAACCATCACAGACGAGGTCGATATCTGTGCGGTTTGCTTGGAAAGAACATGCACTGTTGCTGCTGAAGGTTAGTCCAAATTCTTGTTATACCCTTTTTAAGGATCCTTAACTTAAAAAACGAAAGTTGCGGTTTTTGTGTTTTAGGTTGTGATCATCAGCTATGTGTGAGATGCGCGTTATATCTTTGCTCATCGAGCAATGTTCCTTCGGTGACAGTTGGGCCGCCTGGATCAATTCCTTGTCCTCTTTGCAGAAACGGAATAGTTTCGTTTAAACGACTTCCAAGCTCCCTGACCAAAGAAATGAAGTTACCTATGTCACTTGGGTTCTGCGCACCGTGTATGCTTCACACGGGAGACACAACAGATCAGTCGTCACCGGCAACAGAACAGCAACAGCGTAGCAAGACCCGGGCAGCCTCGGTTTCGTCTGATATGTTCTGTCCGGTAACATGTAGCCCATTCCCTTCAGTCAACATTCCAATGTGCACCTGCAACGATGGGACATGTCCAAACTTTGAGACTCATGGAGCAGAGAGACATAGCGAAGAGCACGACGAATCTTCTCCTCCGCGAACAGCAACTGAGCAGGAGAAGATAGAAGAAGGGCAGAGACTTGGGAAGACAACAACTTGCTCAAGCATGTTTTGGGGAAGAAGAAGCTGCAGCAGAGAGAACCAATGCAATTCCGAGATCAATGCTTGATCACAAACATTTCTATGTACAGTGAGAGAGAGAGAAAGAGAGAATCTATGTCTCCCTCATTTCTTTCTTTTTTATTCGAGATGAGCCACACAGAGTCTTCTTAGGTTTGTTTTGACTCTTGAGAGGCTCCAGATATAAATTATGGTGGAAGATTTGTAATTATCATCATAATGATGGAGTCGTTTTGCAAAATCTCTGTATTTTTTTTATTGTTATGGATCTCTTGTTTGTAGCATTTGATGAAATCGTGAGACTTTTTTTATACATTTTCAACCCAGAAAGAAGTCAAACAAACCTGAAGTGATACCACTGTATTAATTTCAGAAGTTAATGTTTTTGCTTTGGCTCTTCTGGTTGCATGAGAGATATCTGACGACACAAGTCCACGTCATTTTCTTCCTCAGCTTTGCTGTTAATATAGTTTAATTAATTCTTGGATCAGACAAGAGGGAAAAAAAGAAAGAAAGGATCAATTGAAAAGTATCACTCAATTAATTGGACTCGAAGTGGTTTAGTTCTTGTGATGCACCCATTTCAAAAACATTCCCATTTTCGGCTTTGCTACTTCGAAATCTGTGTAACTCTGTTTAAACCTGTAATGAATTTACTGTAACCTGTAATGCGTTTAAATTTTTAGGAACCCTTACATGTATTGTATATTTGTATTGTATCTACTCAGAACCATACTTAAATTTGACCATTACTTTCTATAGTATATGAAAGTAATGAGATTTATTTTTTGTGCAAATTATGAATGTGATTAATAATCAATTACAAGGTTAGTGGGCCTCCTACTAATACATTACAGTAAATTCACTACAGGTTTAAACACATTTACACACTACATATTTAAGATTTCAAAGATAACAATATAACATACATGTATTTGCATTATGAGAAATGGATATGATATGAATATAGATCAGGGAAGTATTTATGTGTTTTAGAAAATGGAAACAGATCCCAAAGGGAAAAGCTTCAAACATTCCTAAAAGGGAAAGAAGACATGTGGGAACTCTCTTCTTTCTTCTGCCCTTTTGTATTTTTTTGTTTGGAACTTGTATACTGGGAGTGTGGGACCAAAACCATTACCTCGTTTCTATTATTTTCTTAATTTTAACCTCTTTTCATTGTTCTTTCACCTTCAAAACTCGGAAACAAAAATTTACGTAAATAACTTTCAAACATGCCAGATAAGTGGGTTTATATGTTGACGCTACAATTTCGTTTTGTTTTGTAATGAAAACAAACGAAAAGTGCATTTTCAAACCAATGTAAACAAGGAGTAAAGTAAGCAAATCAATAAGTGCTGAACTAGACATAGTATTTATCATCATATAGCTGGTTTACTTAAAGCCTTATCGGAGATCACATTAATTGAAATAACATTAATTCACCAGCTTCTTTTTTTTGTTGTTTTAAAGGAAAAACATCAAAAATTGAGAATTACAATTTTACCACACAACTTTTGAGTATTTGTAGACCCAACCAGTCAGCTTTTTCATGGTACAGTGGTTATGATTTCTGAAGATTCTAGCCGTACTCTATGACCCATCATGCCTTCATCTAACTCAGTAACTCATCCTCATCATCAAAAACCTCTTTTCTATACTCTCTTTCAGAAATTCTTATTCAAATATACTCACGCAAACAAAAACAGGATTGAAAAAAAAAAAAAAAAAGCACTATCAAACATTAAAATTTTAAAAAGGGTGATTAAAATCACCGTTACGAACTTTTTAAAACAATTAGTTCACGAAGAAAAAGAAAAACTTTGAAAACAATGGTCTACGTCACGTGAGTTGCGTGCATTACTAGTCTCTTCTCTCTCTTGTCTTTCTCTTCTTCTTCATCTTCCTCGCGCCTAAAAGCTTCTCTCTTTCTTTCTTTCTTTAATGGCGAAGGTTTGATTTATCTTCTTCACTTCTTTTCTCTGATAAAAAAACCTGTCTTTTTTCTCTTCCTTCTCTGAACATGGCGTTTAGGGTTTTCTCCGTCATGTTTCTCTTCTTCTTCTTCTCTGTTTCGTCTGCCATTGACGACGCAACAAGCTCAGAAACGGGCTCTCTTATGTCCTTCAAAGCTTCACTCGAAAACCCATCAGTACTTTCTTCATGGAACCTTTCGTCTTCCTCCTGCGATTGGGTCGGCGTAACTTGTCATTTCGGGAGAGTGGAGTCGCTCTCTCTACCTTCCATGTCTCTCAAAGGCAAACTCTCTCCTTCTCTCTTCTCCCTTCAGTTTCTCTCCGACCTCGACCTCTCGGAGAACTCTCTCTCCGGCGAGATTCCGAAAGGCATTGCAAGGCTGAAGAATCTGATATCGCTTCGGCTCAGCCACAACTCTCTCTCCGGCGAAATCCCTTCTGAGCTCGGGACACTGAAACAGCTCCAAACCCTCGATCTCTCTGGAAATTCACTCACGGGACTTTTACCGAGTCGACTCGGCGAGTTGCCTCGGCTTCTGTATCTTGACCTAAGTGACAACCATCTCTCAGGTTCTCTTCCTCCTTCATTCTTCCTCAGCTTCCCGGCGCTGTCTTCGCTTGATGTCTCCAACAACTCTCTCTCCGGCAAAATCCCACCAGAGATTGGAAAACTGAGCAACCTCTCCGATCTTTACATGGGAACGAATCAATTTTCCGGTCAAATCCCGCCGGAGATTGGCAACATTTCGTCGCTCAAGAACTTTGCTGCGCCACGTTGCTTCTTCAGGGGACCATTACCAGACGAGATGTCGAAGCTGAAAAGCTTAGCAAAGCTCGACCTTTCTTACAACCCACTCAAGTGTTCGATCCCCAGATCAATCGGAGAGTTGCAGAACCTGAGCATAGTGAATCTTGTCTCCGCCGAAATCAACGGACTGATCCCTCCAGAGATTGGTAAGTGTAGGAGACTCAAGACGCTAATGCTTTCCTTCAATGATCTCTCCGGCTCTCTACCGTTGGAACTATCAGAGATTCCTTTGTTGGCCTTTTCTGCTGACACGAATCAGCTTTCGGGTCCATTACCTTCTTGGATCGGCAAATGGAAGGAATTGGACTCGCTTCTCCTTGCTAGCAATCAGTTCTCAGGAGAAATCCCTCGTGAGATTGAAGATTGTCCAATGTTGAAGCATCTTAATCTCGCTAGCAATAAGTTAACTGGTTCGATTCCTCAGGAGCTTTGTGGTTCAGGTGCTTTGGAAGATATCGAGTTGTCTCAGAATTTCTTTTCTGGAAACATTGAAGAAGTGTTTGTTGGATGCACCAATCTTCAACAGCTGGCTCTTATGAACAATCGGATCAACGGTTCCATACCTGAGTATCTCTCCAAGCTTCCTCTGATGGCTCTCAATTTGGATTCCAACAACTTCACTGGAGAAATCCCTGTGAGTCTCTGGAAATCAGCGGACTTGATGGAGTTTTCAGCTTCTTATAACCGTCTAGGAGGTTATTTGCCTGCAGAGATTGGCAATGCAGCTTCGTTGAAACGGCTTGTTCTCAGTGATAACCAGCTCAAAGGTGAAATCCCTAGAGAAATTGGGAAGCTGGCTTCTTTATCTGTCTTGAACCTGAATTCAAACAAGCTTCAGGGGAAGATACCAAGGGAGCTCGGGGACTGTTCCTCTTTGACTACATTGGACCTAGGCAACAACAATCTCCAAGGACAGATTCCAGACACGATCACTGCTCTTGCTCAGCTTCAATGCCTGGTTCTGTCTCACAACAATCTCTCCGGGTCGATTCCATCAAAACCTTCTGCTTATTTCCATCAGACCGATATGCCTGATCTGAGCTTTCTTCAGCACCATGGGATATTTGATCTCTCCTACAACAGATTGACTGGTCCCATACCTGAAGAACTTGGTGACTGTGTGGTAGTGGTGGAGGTTTTGCTGAACAATAATCATCTCTCTGGACAGATCCCAGCTTCACTCTCCCGTTTAACTAACCTCACAAAGCTGGAGCTATCTGGAAATGTTCTCACCGGCTCCATTCCAGAGGAGATGGGCCACTCTCCTAAGTTGCAGGGATTGAACTTGGCGAATAATCAGCTCAATGGTCATATACCAGAAAGCTTTGGCCTTTTGGGTAGCTTGGTGAAGCTAAACTTGACCAAGAATGAGCTGGATGGATCGGTTCCATCTTCTCTTGGGAACTTAAAAGAGCTGACACACATGGACTTGAGTTTTAACAAGCTAAGCGGCGAGCTTCCATCAGAACTGTCTCAAATGCTCAACCTTGTAGGACTTTACATTCAACAGAACATGTTCTCAGGTCCTATTGAAGATCTGTTGTGCAGCTCATTGGCGTGGAAAGTTGAAACAGTGAACTTCAGTGATAACTTCTTCATGGGTAGCTTGCCAAGATCATTGGGGAATCTGTCATACTTGACTAACTTGGATTTGCACAGGAATCACTTCACCGGAGAAATCCCTTCAGATCTTGGTAATCTCATGCAGCTTGAGTACCTTGATGTTTCTGAGAACAGCTTGTCTGGAGATATACCAACAAAAATCTGTGAATTGGCCAATCTGGAGTTTTTGAATGTAGCCAAGAACAGTCTGCAAGGGGTTGTACCAAGCGAAGGTGTATGCCAGGATCCTTCGAAGGCATTGTTTTCTGGGAACAAAGCGTTGTGTGGAAGAGTGATTGGGTCAGATTGCAAGATTGACAGAAAGAGTTTGTTGAGTGCTTGGGGGCTTGCAGGAGTTGTGATTGGGAGTATGATCATCATATTTGCCTCTGTTTTCTCTGTGCGCAGATGGGTTATGGGAAAGAGAGTGAAGCAGAGAAATGATCCAGAGGGAATGGAGGAAAGCAGATTAAAAGGATTCATTGATCAGAATCTCTATTTCTTAAGTGGTAGCAGATCAAAGGAGCCATTAAGCATCAATGTGGCTATGTTCGAGCAACCACTTCTCAAGGTGAGTTTGGCAGACATTGTGGAGGCAACTGATCACTTCTGTAAGAAGAACATCATAGGAGACGGTGGGTTTGGGACGGTTTACAAAGCTTGTTTACCTGGTGGGAAAACAGTAGCGGTTAAGAAGCTAAGCGAAGCCAAAACACAGGGAAATCGTGAATTCATGGCAGAAATGGAGACTCTAGGGAAAGTGAAGCATCGGAACCTGGTGTCATTGCTTGGATATTGCTCTTTCAGTGAAGAGAAGCTTCTTGTGTATGAGTACATGGTGAATGGAAGCTTAGACCATTGGTTGAGGAATCAAACCGGGATTCTAGAGGTACTAGACTGGTCCAAACGCCTCAAGATCGCGGTTGGAGCTGCAAGAGGACTAGCTTTCCTGCATCACGGTTTCAACCCACACATCATACACAGAGACATCAAAGCAAGCAACATTCTTTTAGACAGTGACTTTGAGCCAAAGGTTTCGGATTTCGGGTTAGCCAGGCTGATCAGTGCCTGTGAGACTCATGTGAGTACAGTCATTGCAGGGACATTCGGGTATATTCCACCAGAGTATGGTCAGAGCGCAAGAGCCACGACTAATGGAGATGTGTACAGCTTTGGAGTGATCTTGTTGGAGCTGGTGACGGGGAAAGAGCCGACCGGTCCAGACTTTAAAGAGAGTGAAGGAGGGAACTTGGTTGGTTGGGTGATTCAGAAGATCAACAAAGGAAAAGCTGCGGATGTTCTTGACCCTCTGGTTCTATCGATTGCTTTGAAACACTCAATGCTTCGTATGCTTCAGATTGCTGTGCAATGTATTGCTGAAACGCCGGCTAATCGACCAACCATGGTCGATGTCTTGAAGGCTCTCAAGGAGATATAAGCTAAAAGCCTGAAACCCTTAGGCTAGCTATGTTGTTTGATGTGTCTTAAGTAACAGCTAACAAAAAAAAGGGAGTGTAGGGTTTGTAATGCTAATGTTGGTGTAACTTTGTTCTTAAGTTATTAAATCTTGAAAAGACAAAAATAGGTTTCCAGTTTCCAAATAATTGTATGTTATTAAATCTTGATGATTGTTAAGTTACTCAAGGAATGTTAGACCAAAAAACCAACCAGAACTGAAAATTGTATATAGTAAAGAAAATCCATGACGAACTTAAAGTTATGTTGAAGAAAAAAGAGTTATGAGAAAGCATAAACTGAACCTGAGCTGAGCTGAAATTTGTTGAAATTTTTAATCGGTACTGTTATCTAATACCGAATTATATAAAATCCGATTTCAACTCGATTAAAACCACAAAAATTTATCCAAACCGAATGCACATCCCTGAGAACCAAAATTCACAAAACACCATCCAAATTGACAGAAAAATCCTTTTGCGTTATGAGAAAAAAAAATTGGAATGTAGCTGTTTGATGTCAAGTCAATATCACTAAAACAGTTTGGTCAGTAAAAAATATTATTGTAGACAGAGGAAACATCTTTTTGTTTAACCCAAACTTTTGGCTTTATATTTAAAGTTTGCTCTGACCAAACAAAAAAAGAGTCACTCACACTTCTTTTATCCTCTAGTTATTGAGTACAAACAAATTAATAAAACTCGCTAAGGGTCACTTAGTACGCCAATCATATTCCTCATTCTCTCGTTAGTGTAATATGAAGATCTTCTTCACCGTTAGAGCCGTGCTTAAAATCATAGGAGGTCTAAAAACGAGTTTAAACAATGGCCCTTATACAAAAAAATGAACTATATATAGAAATTATTGAAATTTTATATTGACTATCAAAGCTTTAAAACTGGTTCTTTCCTTCCAATTAACTACAAAAGCCGATAAGTCTCGATGCGCTATACGCTTCGTCCAAATCATTAAGGTAATAATCATTTACGGTTTAAGCATTGATCCTAATTAATATGTTATGCCTAATCAGTAACATCAATCAAATAAAGGGCTGGATTTATGTTATATGTATCATACTTATTTAATGTGAAATATCACGGTCTATGAACCCAGCCTATGGATGGCTTATGGCTAGACGAAATCATAATATATTAATATACCTACTTGCAGTGTTTTTTTTTGGCTTGATAGGCATACCTACTTGCAGTGATGTGATTAAATACTTTGTTAGACAAAACAAAAAACTTCAAATTGATTTTTTTTTCATGTAAACAAAACAAAACAAAATGTAATTCAAAGTGCACGTCTTTGCTGAATATAAATGCGTAATGGGATTAGTGTTTAAGTAGAGTGAGTAGACCGACGAATATCTAAAGATAACGACCTGTATAGTATAGGAGACCGCATGGACCATGTTAATAAAATCAATGACTAATGCATTATTGTAACACTATTCAATGATTACTATAATATCCAATGATATCTTAAATTACTCTCAGCCTTTCTGCTCTAAATAATATCGGTTGGTTATTTGCAAATTGATTTTTCTTGTTTTGCTCCCCTCTCCGCCCGTGTTCCTCCTTCCGACTTCCAAGGATTTGCAGCATAGTAAAATCAAAAGAAAATTTTTGTAAAATTTTTGTTTTCTCTATAACTTTCATCGTATTCTATATATTTGTATGATTTTTAGTGGTATTTGCCGTTTGGTATGTCATATGACCCATGTTACACGCTTGACCTTATCATAGATGTACCCCAAGGCGTGCAAGGAAAAATAATTGTTTCTAGGCTTATTCGTGTAGAAAAATACAAAAACAATAAATAACTTTGGGTAAATTTAGCTTGTGATCAATGGAAGGATATAGTACACATTGCTACTTATATCTGCAAGAAAGTGAAACCACCGTACATTTCGAAAATCCTAAATCAAAAAGTTAATGTATAAGAATAGTCACGGCTAATCAGAAAATTAATGACAGTTAGCAATCCGAAAATTAAAACGATAGAAAATCCAAAATTTGTTTGCCTCTAACAAAAAGAAAGGAGTTTTTTTTTTGTCAACAAAAGAAAGGAGCTAAGTGTCAAATATCGTCTAATCGTTTATGACAAAACGAAAATAATTTATAACATAGAAATTTTAAATCAAACACAAATGTAAACACAAATAAACCATCGAATCGTAATATGTATATATATTCACTATACAATATTGATTAGTTTTTTTTTATCATAAATAGAAATCGTATGAAAAGATTATAAACAACTAACATTAATATCGTATTTTTGGTAGTCTTACATTTGAGGTAATATTAGATGACAGTCGAAGCATCATTAATAAACAATAAGATTGTCTGTTAGTGTTGGTTGATGGCTCGAATGCTAAATCTGAAACCGGTTTGGTATTTTGGTTCAAGACAGTTAGGTTAGATTTGATGTTAATTCAATACCTACCATTGTTGTCTTCCAGAGTTAAAGATAAAAGAGATTCGATGAATCCAACGGCTTGCAAACGAAGTGTGTATAGAGATCAAAGGGTAGAGGATCGCAAGCAGTCGTAGGATTTGTTTGATGCCATTTTTGTTGACGTCAACCATTGAAAGATTGACACGTGGATATTGAGAAGAGCGTCTTAAGAATAAATGCTTTTCTTGTTTATTAATCGGTAAATGCTTTTCTTGTTAAAGAAAATTAAAATTCCTTGTCTAATCCTTCACGCCGCGTCTAGCCATTAAAAATTTTCGGACAACAACTTCGCTTTCTCTATCTTTCAGCTGAGAAACTTAATTTTGGCTCAGCTCTAATAGCTCGGCTCGGCTTCGTAAACTAAAGGAAAGTTTTAACATGTTTGTAAATTGAGCAAAATAAATATCCCTCTAAACGATGGTACTCAATGTTTAATTAAGAACTGGTGGTTTATGACCAAAAAATAAAAAATGAAGAACTGGTCATCATATTTATTGCAAACAATCTGTTTTTCTGCTAATCAATTTGTACTCTAACCTGATTTTCTATTAAATTTGAAGAAGTAACACAAAAACTTTTTGTTTTCTGTGTGAAAAATAGAAGCAATCGTTAAGAAAATACATTTTTACCTTGTTGCATGTGAAAACAAGTAATACATTTTTTTATTCTACAAAAAATGACATACATTCTTTAAATATACTTGTATTAAATGTATCCTTATCTCCAATTTTAGGATTTACATAAATAGAAATTAACAAAAGATTCATCAAGAAAATCCATTATTTAGGTAATTAGTAGATTTGCTGATTCGGTGTATCATACGTGAAAAAACAAGAATGAGAAAGAACGTGAAGACTATAACAAGGAAAAAAAAAAGAAGATAAAACTTTGATTTTTTTTTTAAAACAACGAAACAAAACGTTATCTTCAATGTTTATCCATTTTTATATTTGCTGTTAATGCGTTTTTATCGTTCCTTTTCTTTTCCCACGCAAAAGATTTTTGTTTTAACATCTGTACACAGGCGAAAGTTTATCTGCAAAACATTTGGCGTGGAATCCATATTTCCTCGTATTTTTTATTAATAACTTTAGTCAATTATTTTAAATTTCGTATTAACACGACAGATAAATAATTCGCCGATCGAGGAGCAAAGATATTTAGCCGGATCCAACGACTGCCGTCGCGAGTCCGTAAATATTTTTAATCCGTAAATTAAGAAAAGAAAAAAAATACGTCCCAATCCTAATCCAACGGTTAAGATATAAACTCATACCGTAACGCTAGATCCATGGCAGAAACAGCGTAGCAAAAATCCTCCTTTCTCATTGTTTTCTCTTCTTCTTCGTTTGAGTTTTGTCTTCTTCCATTCATTTTTTTTATTCAATTTTTCCTAATCCAACTAACCGAAAACCAAACTCTCTCTCTCTCTCTCTCTCTCTTCTTGGAGGGAGTGCCGGAATCAAGTCTCAGGGGATCGGAGTATCGCCGGAATTATACAATTACGGTTGCTTCCGCCGTCTTCCCTGAAAGTCACTGCTGGTTGAAATTCACGAGGCGTTCGTGTGAGAGGAAGGAGAATTTGAACACCAATTCACTTCTCTTTTTTTTTATAGTTTTTTTTCTTCTCAAAATTGGAATTATATATTCCCTGCTGGTTATGATTGGATAGAAAGAAACAAAAAGGAAAGGAAGATAAAAGAGAAGAAGAATTTTCCTGCTCTCTCTCTCTCTCTCGTTTTCTCTGTCCTCCTTTGTTTCCTTCGGAAACGTGTAGCCAGGAGAAGAAGGTTTACGAGATCCGTTTTAGTAAATTTAGCTCTTTTTTTTTTTAAATTTCTCTGGGAAATTCGGTTCGATTTCATTTGGAGGATTTCTAGAGAAGAAGCAGAATTGTGCAATTTGGTAAGTCTCTTTTTTTTTTTCATTATTATTCTGAGAGAACGAAATAGGGTTCTGTTATTGATTATTTATTTCTCTGCCGGACTTTTTGAATTTTGGTAGGAGTTGGTTCTCTGCTTGAATATTATTATCTGCATTAAGATCCGAAATTGAGCGAATTGTACTCTTAACGCCTTTTGGATTACCGAATTGATCTCTAATCTAATTTTGTTGAGAATATTTTTTCCTCTAGTCAAACTATTTCTTAGCCCGGAGGTTGCTTGTATTTGCTAAATTTTATTCCGGCTTGTGGATTTTGGGGATTTGAGGGTTGTACTAGAAAACTCCTGTTTTATCCATGGAAAAATTTTCAAACTTTATTTTTGGTCTGGCCTTGAGACTATTTTGGTTGGGGCCCTTCTGTGAAGATTTCCTGTTGGTGGCAAAATTAGAAAGTTGAAAAGAGTTATTCATCTCTCTCTCATTCTTTGTGGTTTTGTTGTTCAGCTGCACAATGCCGTCTGATATACTGGAACCCAGAGGTGTACCGACACCTTCCCATTTTCATGAAGACATTCGCATCACTCCAGAGGTAACTCTTTGATTCTCTGCTTTCAACTTTTTAAAGTTTTGTGCAAAAAATGTAACATTATGTGTAGAACGGTTTTTTCTCAAGACACTTTGATGTTTTTTCTTGGGCAGAAACAGTTTGGGTTCATGAAAACCAACACAATACCTGAAGGTGGCGGGGATAGATTTTCAAGTCTACCAACTAGTTCTTGGACATCTGACAGTTACCAGCTGTCGCAACAATCAAGCTTGTCTGGGGCTCTTCCCTCTGTTATTCCTAATGGAAGAACAACTACAAGTGATACTCACTGGGAGAGCAGTCTATTTTCCAGCTCTCTCTCGGAATTATTTAGTAGGCAATGTAAGCTTCTGATTCTGTTTCTCAAACAACTTTAGCTGTATGTTGGTTACTATTTGACTATAAAGTCCGTCATGGCTAATCAAACTTCATATGGTCGAATAAGTAAAGCAGGAGATTAACAGTCTGTATCATCATGGTCATGAAAGTATATTATATGAATGTTCTGACCGACTCTCCTTGATTTGTATTTCCATATTGGATGTTTTGCAGTACGGCTACCAAGAAGTGATAAGTTAGCATTTATGTCTGCAAACCGTGAGGAAGAACCTTCCGAGTCTTTAGAAGAGATGGAGGCGCACACTATTGGAAGTCTTCTTCCAGATGAGGATGATCTTTTTGCAGAAGTGGTCGGTGAGGTTGGCCATAAGTCTCGTGCCAATGTCGGAGATGACTTGGATGATTGTGACCTGTTCAGCAGTGTTGGTGGCATGGAATTAGATGGAGATGTTTTTTCGTCTGTGGGTCAAAGAGACGGCAAGAGAGGCAGCACTGTTTCGGTTGTTGGTGAACCATCTCGAGGAGAAGTTTTATCCAGAATACTTTTTGTTAGGAATATGGATAGAATTATTGAAGATTACGAGCTCAAGGTCCTTTTCGAGGTACGTATTTTCACCCGTGTTTCTGGCTACAAATTCCTAATTCATGGCAAAACATGGTATTCAGATATTTTGGAAGTCTTTGCTTCTCACTGATGATACATTTACTTTCTAGCAATATGGAGATGTCCGGGCTCTTCATACAGCGGGAAAAAGTCGTGGCTTTATCATGGTATCATATTATGATCTTAGGGCTGCTCAGAATGCGACGAGAGCACTCCACGGTAGGCTTTTAAGGGGAAGGAAGCTTGATATTCAGTATCCTATCCCAAAGGTATTGTTCACTGTTCTCATCCCACTTGCTTGTCTGGTTGTGGTTTCTTTCTGTGTCATGTGTTTTATACCTGTCATTTCGTGCTATCATATATTTTGGTAATTACTATTTTTTGTGATATCAGGACAATTCTAAAAAAGAGAACACCAGCGAAGGAGCCTTGTTGGTTAATAACCTTGATGCTTCTATATCCAGTGAAGAACTTCACAGAATATTCAGTTCATATGGAGAAATCAGAGAGGTTTGCTCACTTGTTTTCTCCTTGTTTTTGCTTTGTGATATTGACGGTTTATGTGACTTTTTGATTTTTATATTTATGCTATTTCTGTTGTTTGCAGGTTCGTAAAATGATGCCTGAAAACTCACAGGTATACATAGAGTTTTTTGATGTTCGAGCTGCACAGGCCGCTCTACGAGGACTAAATGGGATTGAGATTGCGGGGAGGCAGCTTAAACTTGCGCCAACCTGTCCAGAGGGTACAAGGTGCTTATTGTTTATCCTTCCTGTCTTACTTTTTCTCTATGGCTGTGAAATGATGCAGTAACAACCGGATTTGATCCTCTGATATGCTGTTAACTGGTGATAAGAACACCAATTTTGTTGATGTGTAGGCTTCATCATACTTTTTTTTTTTCAGTTTCACGCCACAGTTCGCTGCAGATGAAGGTGATGGTAGTCTACCTAAAACGGGCTTTAATAATCTATCATCTACACACATAGGTATAATAGTGCACATGGTTTATGATTATTAATTCTCAATGATTTGGCATCCTGGGTCATAACTGTTACCTCTCATTTAACATCTCTTTTTCAGGGAGACATTTTCCAGGGATATTAGCTTCGACCTCCATTGATAATGGATCTATGCGAGTTATGCACAATTCAGTCGGGTCCCCTGTGAACTCCTTCATTGAACGTCATCAGTGTCTCGATGTTCCTATTGGTTTTCCACCATCGGCAAGAGCCATCTCAGCTAGCAAGCCTGTTGGACTTCAGGAGCCCGGAAACTCTTTTGATAACTCGAAAACAGGGATCCAAAGCATGCCAAATCTTCATCCTCATTCTTTTCCTGATTACCTCGACAACTTTGCAAGTGGTAGTCCATATAAATCGTCTACGACGTTCTCTGAAATGGCCAGTGATGGCCAAAAAGCAAATGAAGGCTTTATGATGAGCAATGTTCGTGGTGTCGGGGTAGACGGGTTTAACGGAGGTGGTAAGTACATAGTTCTTCTAATTGCTTTTCTGCCTTGATACACTTTCCTAAGGTTAGTAATGATGCGTAGCTGACGATTGTAAATTTAAGAAGAGTAGTTTACTATAGAGCATATTAAATTTTATTGACCAATACTAAATTTCTGAGAAGCCTGATGTAGATGATTGTGAAGAAGTTTTTCTACTTACCTGCTTGTGTTAGTTATTTTAGTTTTCTCATTTGTATTTTGTTTCTAAATTTCTTGTTTTAGTCATAGGATCTCCTATAAATCAAGGGTCCCATCGCTCTAACCTCAACTTATGGAGCAACACTCAGCAGCATAGTCCATCAAGTGGCATGATATGGCCTAACTCACCATCTCGAGTCAACAGCATTCCTTCTCAGCGCATCCCACCCGTAACTGCATTCTCTAGAGCATCTCCTCTAATGGTGAACATGGCATCATCGCCTGTGCACCACCACATTGGATCTGCCCCGGTCTTACACTCGCCCTTTTGGGATAGAAGACAGGCCTATGCAGCTGAATCTCCAGAAACTTCTGGATTTCAGTTAGGCTCTCATGGTAGCATGGGATTTCCTGGCTCTTCTCCCTCACATCCAATGGAAATTGGTTCCCATAAGGTTTTTTCGCATGCTGGTGGGAATCGCATGGATGCCAATTCAAAAAATGCTGTATTACGATCATCACGACAGATGCCTCACCTCTTTTCTGGAAGGAGCTCAATGCTTTCAGTGCCAAGCTCATTTGACTTGCCTAATGAACGGTACAGGAATCTATCTCACAGAAGAAGCGATTCTAGCTCTAGTAATGCTGAAAAGAAACTGTATGAGCTTGATGTTGATCGCATACTACGCGGGGAGGACAGCAGAACAACATTGATGATTAAAAACATTCCCAATAAGTAAGTGATTTTGCTACTGTTTTTTACCCTATTGCAACTATAGCTTGTTTCTCGTCTCAAGAAATTTGCAGGTTGCTCATTTTATCTTGCTTCATCGTTGATTTTTTTTTTTCGTTAATGGTTTAGGTATACTTCTAAGATGCTTCTAGCTGCCATTGATGAGTACTGTAAAGGAACATATGATTTCCTTTATTTGCCAATTGACTTCAAGGTATGCAGGCCTCTTACCTACCTTTCTAATCTAATATAGACTACTGCAGGCATAGTAGCTTATGATATTTTCAATAATTCGATGTCAATGAACTTTTTTCTCTTTGCAGAACAAGTGCAATGTGGGATATGCTTTCATCAACCTTACCGAACCTGAAAATATTGTCCCGTTTTATAAGGTATGATTGATTTGTTTTGTACGTCGTACCAAATTTGTTTGGAAAAAAAAAGGCATTGGTTACAGTTTTATAACCTTAACAGGCATTCAACGGTAAGAAATGGGAAAAGTTCAACAGCGAGAAGGTGGCATCTCTTGCATATGGTCGGATTCAGGGAAAATCAGCTCTCATTGCCCATTTTCAGAACTCAAGTTTGATGAACGAAGACAAACGTTGTAGGCCTATACTCTTCCACACTGCTGGTCCAAATGCTGGTGATCAGGTAAGAACAATTAAGGCCTTTCTTAATAACACCTTGTTCACACTATCCTTGTTCAAATAGGAAAATTCTCTGTCACCTTGTTGGCTTTTTTTTTTTTTTAATGAGATTCTGCTTTATTTGTATCAATGTTCTGTGTAGGAACCATTTCCAATGGGTTCGAACATCCGGTCAAGACCAGGCAAGCCTCGAACAAGTAGCATCGAGAACTACGCCAACTTTAGCAGCAGCTCTGAAAACCGAGAAGAGTCTCCAAATGGGACGGACTCGATCTAACCGGATGAGCCAGACAGTTTTCATGTCATAAGCCAGACTAACCTTAGGCGTCTTCTGTCAGAGGTGAAAAGAAAAGAGACCCGAAAGATTAACACAAGGTAAAAATATGTGTATCGTTAACACCCCACAGCTCTGTAAATCCTTGGGGTGGTAAATTTTTACCTGGAGAAAACTCATTTTGCAGTGGAGAAAGTTTTTTGAACTTGGTTCTCTAAGCTTGTTCAGGTTGCTTCACAAGTTTTGTTGTATCATCAAACCCCACCCCCAGAGAAATCTTGCTGGCTTTTTTTTTTGTTTTTTGTTTTTGTTTTTTTTCTAATATTTATTTAAATATTTTCCTTTTATTTCAAAAAAAGTTTTGGGTAGTGTGTACAAGGATCTTTCTTTGTACTTGCTTACAAAAAGTAACAAACCTAGTACGATGTGTTCAGTTTCTTCTTCGCCAGTGTTTCGGGACCATATAGTCTTATGTAAAACCCTTGGTGGCCGAGTTTTCGACTATGCTATCTTCTTTTGGTTTCTTCTACTTTCTACTAGTTTTTATTTTAATTTTGGTTGGTGACTTTTAAAAACTCTGTCACAGTCAGTTGTTTAAGCTTCCTCCAGAGTTTTCTTAATCTAGTATTTAATAACAAAAATCACACGTCGAATCAATGATATATTTTCTTAGATAATTCCGAATTAGAACAGAACCAGAGAGAATGCAGTTTTGATCCCCAAAAAAATATCGAATCTTACAGTTACAAATCAGTTTTATTCTTTTTATTAATATATTTTATCTAAGCCAATCTGAAAAGAAAAAAAAAATCGGATTGAGTCTGTAAATATAGTGGCATTTAGGGGCTTCTAAAATTCGCACAAAACATTTGAAGACTTCCAATTGTTTTTTCGGCTTAATGCAAAGTAAAATCTCATCTCCTTTGGATATATCCAGCCCATGGAAACCTAAATTAAGACCCATAAGGCCCTCCCCTCCTTTTTTGAAAGGCAGAAACAATTGGGTTTGGGTCTGCAACCTATATAGGCTATATTGATGATTCTCAAATGAGTTTTTTTTTTTTTGGGAAAAAATGTTACATACAGTATGTTCTGTGATTATGCTTTTTGAAAAAGGCTTGTTTGCCTTTCAGGTTGCGAAATCTTTTGGTCATTTACGTAAAATTTATGTCTTTTTATTCACGTCTCCCTCTAAAAGATGCCTTTATTTTGCCCTGATTAAATTCCAGTCACACCGCATTATGCAGAAGAAACTTATAATAATTATAAATTCTAAAAATGCTTATTCCCGTAGAACTATAAACAAAATTATCTTTCAAACGTCGGTTTGTTGTATATATCTGATATATAAAAATAAAAAGGATACTGAAATATGACAATTCTCGATGTGTCAAATCCTTGGACCAAATAAATTACTAGCCCACTATAGTAAATATCATCACGTGACGACTTTGTAATCTCTTACAGTCAATTAAATTGACTCAATTTTTTTGTTATTTGTCGTAAATTGACTCAATTTAATACGTCTACTTTCCAGTTAAATCTAAAAATCGGTAATTATCAAAGAATACGTAGTAATTAACTTTGGTAATACTACAGTTCTAATGTTGTCCAATGTCCTTAATTGCGCAATAATTACCGGCTGTATTTGTCCAATAATTTGATTGATTAAAATAAATAAAAAGAAACGAATAAATGAATGGAGTCAAGACTCGAGACAGATCGTCGACTTGGAAAAACACAGTGGGTCCCATATCACTTCCCCGGTCCAGATTTTTCTCCTCTTCCCTCTTCTTCCTCCTCAAATCTCCTCCTTCTTCTTCTTCTTCTGTGAACTCGCCGTCTAATGATTGTCTCTGCTTCTCGATCCATCTTTTGAGTGATATGGGAAGCTGCTGGTCCGATGGCTCTTACGGTGGTGGTGGAATGGTCGGTGTTGGCGGGACTTCTTCCTCCGCCGCCGCCGGCTTCGCCAGTCCTAACGACGCCGTTGACTACTACCTCAAGTCTCGCGGCTACAACGGCCTCTTCTCTCAGATCGAGGTCCGTTTTCTTTTCTTTTTCTTTTTTTCCTTCCTGACCAAGATTTGAATTCCCGCTTCTCCAACACTTTCATCATGTTTTCTTGTTCGCAGTTATCCTTTTCTGCTTCCAATTTGCGAGACCGGGACGTGATTTCAAAGGTTTGTCTTTGTCTGCTTAGAGAGTATCTAGCTGTCGAAAAAATGGTGTTTTTAGCTAGTTATTGATTCCTAGAAATCGAATTGAAGTGACACATAATGTCGTAAAGGATCTCTGTCTCGAAACCTTAGTTTGCTATTTTTATATAAGATTGCTTGTTATTGCAGAGCGATGCAATGGTGGTTGTTTATATAAAAGGAAGAGATGGAACACTTGCGGAATTGTTCCGCACTGAAGTTGTTTTGAATTCTTTGAATCCTAAATGGATTAAGAAACTTACAATCGGTTATCAGTTCGAGATTGTGCAAACGTTGTTGTAAGTTCCTTGTTTTCGGCTTTTATACGGCTTGAGTCCTAGAAGAAATATTAAAGTTTCACACTTTATGACTCTTTTCCTTTTCTGCTCAGGTTTCGTCTGTATGATATTGACACTCAGTTTCAGAATTCGAGGGAGGAGGTAACTGCATTTCCCTTGTTCTCTTTCCACTGAATGTTAATCACGTTACATTTTATGATTGGCGGATTTTCATTTCAGTTGCTTAAGCTCGACGAGCAACAATTTCTCGGCGAGGCAACATGTACATTGTCTGAGGTATCCACTGCTTAATTATTCTTTTATTTGTTTTAGTTTGGGGACCTCTCTACTGGTTCTTTGAAATTTAATGAAGCAACCTCATTTGCTTGTAAGACTGATTCATACTTCCTGGTCAACTACTGTGTGCAGATTATCACCAAATCAAATAGGACAATTGCCTTAGAACTCATGCATAAAGAAGGTGTTACTGCACAGACTCAGACACAAAACCACGGAAAACTTATCGTCCATGCTGAGGAGTCTCTAGCTTCTAAGACAATGACAGAGATAGTATTTAGGTGCTTGAATTTGGAATCAATGGATCATTTCACTAAAAGTGTAAGCTATTGTATATAATACTCTTTCACCATATTACCAGAATCTACTTCAGGGATAAAATTTAACATGAAGTCTCTTGCTCAGGACCCGTTTTTGGTGATATCTAAGATTGTAGAGCACGGTGCTCCAATCCCGGTCTCTAAAACCGAAGTCTTAAGGAATGATGCCAATCCGCTTTGGAAACCAGTCTGTCTAAGTGTTCAACAAGTGGGGAGTAAGGTAACCAGAGAGGTTTCTTATTATATCTGAGTTTGTCTGAACAGGAAGATGTATCAAATCTCTTTTGTAATCTTGCAGGAGAGCCCACTGGTAATAGAGTGCTTAGACTTTAATGGCAATGGCAATCACAGTCTGATCGGGTAACCACAAACTCTCAGTTGCTTTCATTCTATATGACATTGAGCTGCTTAAGTTGAGATGGTTCTTGTATGTTATTGGGTTTTGCTAGAAAAATTCAGAAGTCACTTTCAGACTTAGAAAAGCTTCATTTGAGTGGCCAAGGAATCAATTTATTCTTACCTACCGGTGTTGGACATAAACATGAAGACAGGGTATGGATGTTCAACGATAAGAGGTTGAATACAATCTAAAAGCAGGAAATCTGATACCATATGCAATTGTCTCAGGCATTAAAGAGCCAGCTTTTCGTGGACAAGTTTACTGAAACTGTTCAGCATACATTCCTAGAGTACTTGGCGTCTGGATTTGAACTGAACTTCATGGTCGCAATTGATTTCACGGGTATGAATTATACCGTGGTAAAAAGATCTGAGAAGGGCAGAGTTTCTCAAGACTCTCTCTCTCTCTAGTGCATTCCCTTTAAACTAATCCACTTGTCCCTTCTTCCATTAGCTTCAAATGGAAATCCTCGCCTCCCAGATTCCTTGCATTACATTGATCCTACAGGACGCTTAAATGCCTACCAGAGAGTAAGGACTCGACATATACAAAGTTTGGTTATTGCTTACCTTTTCTATTTCCTTGTTAAAGAGGTGACTGTGTGTGATGGTCTTTCTTATATTCAGGCAATAGTTGAAGTTGGAGAAGTGTTGCAGTTCTATGACTCTGACAAACGCTTTCCCGCATGGGGTTTTGGAGCTCGTCCTATCGACATCCCTGTTTCACATTGCTTTAACCTCAACGGAAGCAGTACATACTGCGAGGTCTGGCTTTATCTCCAACAAATTTTGGCTCAAATAACAACATGAACTGACTTTCTAACAAATTCCAAAATGTTTTCTCAGGTAGATGGGATTCAAGGCATCATGAATGCCTACAATGGTGCTCTCTTCAACGTCTCTTTTGCAGGGCCTACTCTATTTGGTCCCGTGATCAACGCTGCTGCGACAATCGCAAGCGAGTCACTCGCTCAAAATGCAAGGAGATATTACGTCTTGCTGATAATCACTGTGAGTTAATATCAAAAACATGTTTTCTTTTGTTTCCTTTCTCTGATTCTTGTGTATTTGGTATGTAAAGACAAACGGAAACTAAACTTGTCCGTGTTTTCCTAGGATGGAGTGATAACAGATCTGCAAGAAACGAGAGACGCATTGGTCAGTGCATCGGATCTCCCATTATCAATCCTCATCGTTGGAGTCGGAGGAGCTGACTATAAAGAAATGGAGGTTCTTCCTTAGAAGAAATTGATAACACTACAAATTTTCATTTGAAATGATCGTGTAGAATCTTACACACAGTTATGTGTTGTTATTGTTGTATAGGTACTAGATGGAGACAAAGGGGAGAGATTAGAGAGCTCGAGCGGTCGCGTGGCGTCACGTGATATCGTGCAGTTTGTTGCATTACGAGACATACAATGTGAGAGTCTTGTTGTTGTCTTCTTGATGTAAAAGAAAAACGCAGCGTTTTGGTTGACTGATCATTGTTGTTTGTGTGCAGATGGAGAGGTCTCAGTGGTAGAAGCGCTTCTAGCGGAATTGCCTTCACAATTTTTGACGTACATGAGAAACCGTAATATCACTCCCACTTCTTCTTCTTGATCCACCTCTCTACCCCTGTACATACATCTTCAACACAGCTCTAAACGCTGTCGTTTTTCCTTTGGCTTTTTTTATTTGCTACTTGTCTGGAATTTTTCCATTTCGAGTATGCCACGACAAATCTCTTTCCAGACAAATATTATTTTTATTTAATATAATTATTTTCCCAAATTACTAGTTTGGTTTTGGCATATTCAAAACATGTACTCTTCAACGGTCAACATATTTCAGTTGTTGACTTTCTTGATTTTCTTTGTTAGGATTTAGGTGCTGATTCTTATTTAAGCCCGACTTTAAACGTGAAAGTTGATTTATCTTTACCGTACTTCTAGCTGAAACAAGTAATATGAAACAAATAAATGAAGTCAAGACTACGTATTTAAAAGCATTTTTTAAAATGGTTATGGATCTAAAACTTAAGATTTACGCCAAGTTTGAACTAACGAATTGTAATAATCCGGTTTTATAGTTTCTCAGACTTTGAATCTTGGACTTAGTGTATGCATGTAAAAACGTTTAAGTTGATCACTGGATCAAAAACTTCCACATAAACATGAAGTTTATTAAAGTTAATTATTTCCGGATATAGATGAAATAGCTAGAAAACATTCGTGTATCTAGTAGTAGAAAGAGGCTCCAAAACAACATGTTCAATTCACACGTTTTCTCTTGAGTTAGTGATCATTGTGAACACATGTCTTGGATATATCTATAACTAATTTTGTTTTTCAATCTCTATCCACATCTTTTATCGGAAAGGAAAAAATAAAGATACGACACACGTACGTAAACTCCTCTTTTTTATTTTCCTTTTTAATCTATGAAAAACAATTTTATTATACTCTTATTCCTTAACTTTTTCAGAGAATGTCGTTTACACACACAGAATATATATATGCTTCTTTGTATATAAAATAAACTTCAAAAGAATATAACTTTTTTTTTCTTCGATCCCATGCATGTGTTCCCGAAACGAAACCAGTAACGAATATGTACATGCATGCATTTTCCATCTTTAATTAACTCTTTTTGTCATTTTGGATCTTTATATAGCGTTCATATCTATTTTAAATTATACTGTTAGAGCTTTTTTTAGTAATCTTTATAGATCCATTTCTTAACTTGTTCAGATTCACACGTACGCATCTCCTGCTATAAGCAAAACAAAAAGCCTTTTTCACGCGGTTTTACAGTTTTAACAAGTACACTCATATATAAGTGCATGATTTTTATGTGTCTCGAAAATTATAATAGCTAGAAAAATAAATAAATTTTAAAAAGAAATATGCAAAACTTCAGCTTGACGTTTTGTTATTGTCTTATGTTCACACAGAAAAAAAATGCTCCTATAAAACCTTCAAATTTGTATACCCCAAAACCCTAATTAATATATCTCTTCCACTTTCCTTCTTCGTCTTCTTTGTTTTCAGGTTTAACGCATCCTCTATTCCACTATTTGCAACAATACAAAATCTGAAACCCTAAATTCTAAACCTCCTAAAAAGAGCAGTTTAAAAGATTCCTGCAAAGATGGCGAATCCGAGGAATTATGGGAAGAGGCCCTTTCGAGCCGGTGAATCGGAGGAAAAAAACGGAGCCGATGATGATGAGAACATATTTCCTTTCTTCTCGGCCCGATCCCAATACGACATGCGTGCCATGGTCTCAGCCTTGACTCAAGTCATTGGAAACCAAAGCAGCACTCAGGATAATAACCAACATCACCCTGTTGTGTATAATCAACAGGATCCTATCCAACCGGTTCCTCCTACTCAAGATCAAGGTATATTTACATATAGTGGACTAGTTAGCATATTTATTGCAAATTACAGACTTACAGTTAGTATGTGATGATATGTACATATAAAATGAGCATATGGATCTTTTTACTAGGCGATGAGAACATTAATTCGTGTGTTATTGCAAATTCTTGTAGTGCTGTATATATAAACATATGAGAAATCTACCAAACCTATATATGTGAAATATGTTGGTTGTATAAAGGAAACTTGAGGAAGAGACACTATAGAGGGGTAAGGCAACGACCATGGGGAAAGTGGGCAGCGGAAATTCGGGATCCACAAAAGGCAGCACGCGTGTGGCTCGGGACATTTGAGACCGCTGAAGCTGCGGCTTTAGCTTATGATGAAGCAGCTCTTAAGTTCAAAGGAAGCAAAGCTAAACTAAATTTCCCTGAGAGGGCTCAACTTGCAAGTAACACTAGTACTATTACCGGTCTTCCAAACTATTACTCTTCTAATAATCAAATTTACTACTCAACTCCGCAGACCAATCCGCAAACTATACCGTATAGTAACCAATATCACTATAACCAGTATTATCATCAAGGAGGAAATGTTAACGATGCACTAAGCTATAATTTGGCCGGTGTGGGAACGGTAGGCTCAATGTATAATCATCAGACGTTATCTACTACAACTTCTTCATCTTCTGGTGGATCTTCAAGGCAAGAACAAGATTACGCCAGGTTTTTGCATTTTGGAGATTCTTCATCTCCTAATTCAGGTTTTTGAGATCATCATAAAAGTAATAAGGGACTTTGTGTCGCTTGTTATAATGAGATTATATGTTTCTTGTGTGTTTTGTATTTTCATTATGCGTGTGTTATTTGTGGTCCCTTTTTCAATTTTTTTCTTTCAAGAGTTTTCATGGGGGTCATTGTTCACAACCCTTGGATTTGGATTTATTTAAGGTTTTTTTTGGGGTAATTCCTTTTTGTATTAAAAAATAAATGAACTATATACAAAAAATTACCCTTTAAAGTTATTGGAGCAAACTCAAACAAATACATACAGACATACATACAAATTCATTATTCGTTCGTTTAATTCTAGTCATTCTAATGGACCTATCATATGGCGTGTTAACATATCTTAATTTACAGGTCACATTAGGCGCTCACGCATAGAAATGTTAATATTATGGATTGTATTGTGATGTGACGATAAAATTCCACCGTATAAATAAGACAATCGAAAGCTCTTTCCGAATCATTGGATCAAGCCAAATAGGATATACAATGATTTCTCTTTATCAACAAATAATAGCAAACATGCGCTATATGAATTTATATTCTGATGGTGAATAGTAAGAACACTATCATATGTCATGATTATAATGATTTTACTTGGATAAATTATGAATCATGTTGTTTTATTTTGGTTAGGATTCACATATTCACATAAAATAGATGTGTCGTTTGGCATGCGTAACTAGTGAAGCCAAATAGGATCCTAATTGAATTTTATCTGAACTTATATATGTTTATTAGGGCTCCCGGCTCCTCATTGTCTTCATTATAAAATAAAAATATCTATTGTATGTTTAATAAAAAATTTGCATAGAGTTTTCAAATCGTTTTTTTTTTTTTGCTTAGTTTTCAAATTGTTTGAGATTGGCTCTAATATTAAATGGGATGTAAAATTATATAAATCAATTGAGTTGGAACTCCATAGTTAATGGGTTGTAGATCAAATTTACACGAACATAGTTTCCATTCCACTTTTATTGGACAATTTAAACCTCACTTTTTCTTCTCTTAAGTCATTTTGAATTCACAAAATTGCTACTACGTTTATTATTTGTGTGGGTCAGGATATAGTTAGAATAATCAAATGTTGTATTAGAATTACGTTTACTTTGACATATATTTTGAAAATATAAAGTATAGGACATCCAATATAGCCAGGGTTTCAAAAGTAATAGTACTTCTATTTTTTTGTCGTCAAGTAATAGTACTAATATTAAAACCAGTACAAAGAGACTTTTACAAGCAAATCTAGTTTTTTTTTAGAGAAAACTAAGATGGGATTTGAAGTAACAAGTATGAAAACATGACCAAACCAGATTCCCTAAGCATTTGTTCAACTCCTTGACTTTTGTCAATCCAAAGAGGTTGACTCCTTTTGACCCATGTTTACATATCCCCTCTACTGATTTTAATTTTCAAGTATTCCTTATATTTAATTCAATTTTGTTACAAACATAAATATATATATATATATATACGTTATTTACGGAGATGTGGGAAGTTAATGTGTATGCAGGTCCAGATATATTTATACACATGATGACAATAACTAAAATTTGAAAGGGCAATGCCAATTAGAATTACAGATTCAATGTACATATTGTTTCATAAATGAAAAAATCATTTCGTTTTGAAACTTGAAACTCGTTTTTCTTATCATCATATCACTTGAAATGATGATAATGAATTCCGTTTTTATTAAAAATACTTTCCGACCAACGCGTCATCTCCTCTTTCTTTTGTCTATAATTATTTTGTTGAACCATTCTTTTGATTTATTTCGTGTTTCTTAGTTATTTACATACTACCGTAAAGGCCTAAACTGTTTGTGCCTCGGCCGCCGACAACAATCTGTACTTCAAGACATTCGTGGAACTTCAAAAAGCATTATTATTCTATACAATAAAATATTCCCCACGCGCGAATGTAGCGCGTGAAGACACCGCCATTACGAAAGCGAAGCCGAGTCTTTTTTTTTTTTTTTTTTTTTTTTTGTCAAGCCGAATTGTAGTTTGTATATATATAGTAAGGTGGTTGTCGCTGACTAGCCAATTTCAATTTCACATGTATATGCGACAAACAAAAAAAGTTATTTGTTCTTTCGTCGGATGGTTAAAAATGTTTATCCCATGGGAAGTAAATCGTTGATATAACTGAATATGTTTGTTGTGAGGATTTTTTTTTTTGGTAAAATGTAGTGAGGGTTTTCTAAGACATAAACGATATAGCCGGTGTCTGAGATATACTTTATATTTTTAAAAATATTCGTCTGTGGAAAACCTATTAGCCTAATAAAATTTGTTAAAGGTAAGCAATTAACTAATTAGGTAGCCTGAGCATTTTTGCAATAAATAGTTTTGGATCAAAATTGCGATACCCTGAGCATTTTTGTAAATATTTCTTAAAAATACAATTTACGAGTACAACAATTACAAAGGTCACCTAGCTCGTCTTTCATATAAAAATACAAAGAACACATGGCAAATGATAAACATTCAATCAAACGTGTTAATGCTCAGATTATTTGATATGAGGTTCAGATACCGAGCGTTGCTTACAAAACAATTCAAATTATTAAACACGGATACAATGATCATCCCGACAAACAGAATATAAGAGAAAGTCAATAAATTAAAATGTACAGTTGACGTTAACGGAAATGGGAATGGCCGCACGCACGCCGGCCTCTGCACCGCCCTTTCAACCTTTGCGGCCGTCTAAGCTCTCACATATCTCAACCACTTCCTTTTCCACCATTTTCAAACTTATCGGCCCAAATACATATATGTATGCATGCAAACATACTTATATATATATACAAAATAAAATAAAATAAAAAGAGGTATATGTGTTTTTGCCTATTTCCTTCGACCGCAGATGTTTGAATTTCACCGACTCACTCATTAATTGTTATATAAGCAGCCCACTTCAACTTCCCAAATAGTCTAGCCCATTTTAGATTAACCCAAATCGCTGTGTAAATCACACGGTTTAAGTTTTTTTCTTCTAAACCTCACCTTTTCAAATTTTAAGAAGAACAAATCATTACTCTGTTTTTCACTTTTTTGTGTTCACGGTGAGGATTGTCGGTGAAAGCATGCACCTCATGTTGAAAGAAAATATGTATAATCATAGATTCATGGGAAACATGTTTTATGGGAACGAAGAACATATCTGTTAGAAAAATGAAGGAAGAAAGAGAATCTCATGAGCTGTTAATGAGAGGTCTTTTTTTTTCGTAGAAGAAAAGCGGAGAACATAATACATAAAATATCTTTTGAGTCCACTTTAATGACACAAAAATAAAAAGCAAAAAATCCGACCTGCCGGAATCGAACCAGCGACCTAAAGATTTGCTGTCACAGACTACAGTCTTCCGCTCTACCAACTGAGCTAAGGTCGGTTGTTGATTATTGATCGAACTAAAATTAAAATCAACTTATTGCGCTAGCAGTCTTGTTCTCCAATTTCCAAACCGGAGACAAAACCGGCGCGAAGATCGCTACCCTCTTGTTGTATCAAAATCAAATTTACGGTCAAACACAGTTGACCATTTCGGTTTTCGTTCAAACCGGATACGCACGGTCTCAATTTGACTGATTCGCACGTGCCGTGTGGAAATGCACGTGGAAAACCTGTCGCAAAATAGAAAAGGCAGAGGCGAGGGAGGGAAGATAGAGAGATTGGGGGATATGCTATCGTCACTTGCGGTTGACAGATGACGCCGGATTTTCCTTCACCGGCCGTCGTTTAAAGCCAGAGCCCTGAGCGTAACTCACACACACACCGACTCCATTCGAAGTGTAGTTGTTTTCCAAAGTTTGAATATTTTTATTGGGTTTGAATTTTGGGGATTTGTGTTTCGTCTTGTACGGGAGGACTCTTTCGGTGTTGTTGAGGTCGTCTTCCTCAAAACCCAGGACCAGAAATTTCACTCTTTTGAAGTCTCAGGGTCATCTCTCCTGTATAAATACGCGAGACGATGAACGATTCGTAGAATCATTCAAAGTTCCCGGTGAAACATTCTAATTTTTGTTTTTTTTTTCATCTGGGCAATCTCGATTGATCGCGAATCAGCAATGGAGTCGGCGAAATCGAAGCCCAAATACCGCAACCCGATGAAGAAACCTGTATCGGTCACGATGGAGCATGTTCTGTTGGCGTTACGAGAGACCAACGATGAGAGGGAGATTCGGATTCGCAGTTTGTTCGACTTCTTCGACAATTCGAACCTAGGGTTCTTAGACTACGCTCAGATCGAGAAGGGTCTGGCTTCGCTTCAGATTCCTCCCGAGTACAAGTACGCTAGGGATTTGTTTAGAGTCTGCGACGCCAATCGAGATGGACGCGTGGATTACCACGAGTTTCGTCGCTACATTGACGCTAAGGAGCTTGAGCTTTACAGGATTTTCCAGGCCATTGATGTCGCTCACAATGGCTGCATTTTGCCTGAGGAGCTATGGGAGGCTCTTGTTGACGCCGGTATGTGATTCCATTTCTACTGTTACTATTACAAACAATGAACAACAATCTAATTAGTTTTCATTGATCCATCTGATGTAAATTTCGGACCTTTATGGGGTTTGTGGATTTTGATTGTTTACAGCTTGTTCTTGGTTAATCGGTCTTGTTGTAATCTTTTGCTGAAGCTTTCTATGTTTTGATTGTTGACTATCTCCAACCTATATAAGCCCCACAGTGGTGTTCTTGTAGGAATTGAAATCGATGATGAGGAACTCGCTCGTTTTGTGGAGCATGTTGATAAGGACAACAACGGAACTATAACATTCGAAGAGTGGAGGGATTTTCTTTTGTTATACCCTCACGAAGCCACCATTGAAAACATATATCACCACTGGGAAAGGGTGTGCTTGATAGACATCGGGGAGCAAGCTGTTATACCAGATGGTATAAGCAAACATGTCAAAAGAAGCAGATTACTTCTCGCAGGAGGACTAGCCGGAGCTGTTTCTAGGACTGCTACCGCACCTCTAGATCGCCTGAAAGTTGTTTTGCAAGTTCAAAGGGCACACGCAGGCGTCCTCCCAACCATTAAGAAGATATGGAGAGAAGATAAGGTGATGGGTTTCTTCAGAGGTAATGGTTTAAATGTCATGAAGGTTGCTCCTGAAAGCGCCATTAAGTTTTGTGCTTACGAAATGCTCAAACCCATCATTGGGGGAGAGGAAGGTGATATTGGTACAAGCGCGAGGCTTCTGGCTGGTGGAATGGCTGGTGCAGTGGCTCAGACCGCTATTTACCCTATGGATCTCGTCAAAACTCGGTTACAGACTTGTGTAAGTGAAGGTGGAAAGGCACCGAAGTTGTGGAAGCTCACAAAGGATATTTGGGTTCAAGAGGGACCTCGGGCGTTCTACAAGGGTCTCTTTCCTTCTCTTCTTGGGATTATCCCATATGCAGGAATCGACCTAGCTGCTTATGAAACGCTAAAAGACTTGTCCAGAACATATATCCTTCATGACACCGGTTAGAGCATCAAAGTCTTAGCTCCTTATTGTTCTTTGCATATGATTGTTTTCTGAGATATACTGAAACAGCTTCAAATTCTGCAGAACCGGGTCCTCTGATACAGCTCAGCTGTGGAATGACGTCAGGAGCTCTTGGAGCATCATGTGTTTACCCGTTACAGGTTGTAAGAACAAGGTAAAAACAAAAAACTCAGAAGGTTGCAATCTAATGTGTTTCCATTCTTGTCTGTGACTGTTTTAACAAGTTTGATCCTTCTCCTATCAGAATGCAAGCGGATAGTTCAGAGACTACGATGAAGCAAGAGTTTATGAAAACGATGAAAGGCGAAGGTCTGAGAGGTTTCTACAGAGGACTCCTACCCAATCTTCTCAAAGTAGTTCCAGCCGCAAGCATTACATACATAGTTTATGAAGCTATGAAGAAAAATATGGCTCTTGATTAGCCGATACAAATTTTCTCGGGGTCAGTCATTCTTTTTTGTTCCCAAGAGGCAGGGCTCTTGATTTTTCATTAGAATTTGTAAAAGAGTAAATTTTAATGTTGGTTTATATATTTTTTTTCGTAGACATACAAACTATACGTCTCTTCTTCTTACCGTTGATTTATGTTTCTCAACTAACCGGTTTTTTTATGATCTTTTACACTTCGATCTCAACATATATTTTTTAGTATACTCCATGATATTGATAACGATGTTATACCTAAGCATTTGTTTATTTTGAATGTTATTTTAACTTTAACATGATCTATTTTCAAATTCAGTGCTTTAAAATTTACTGAAGTATTTTAATTCTATTTTTTAGGATAGAAGTAAGTCAGTAACAGTAGATAAAATATTGTTATATTTCAAAAAATTTTCAATTATTTAGTGTAGTTTTTATTTTCCTCATCGTTATACTTCTATTCATATCAATGTAGAATTAACAGGAAAAAAACTTGTGAATGGCAACTTGGATAAAGATAGTTTTTAAAGAAACAGCAAGATTGTAAAGATTTTCTCAAAAAGAAAAAGACAAGATTGTAAAGCTATTACAAGCAAACGGAATACTTATCGTCAGAGAATCAACACATCACCGGAGAGTTCACCGGAGAAGCACCGGAAGAAGAAAAAGACAGAAAACCAAATTTACGAAAAGAAGAAAGGCGTAGCCTTCCCTTTGCCTCTGATGACTTGCCGTTTGTGTCTCTCCCCTGTTAACCAGAACAGAGAAAGATAACGGAACCGAGTTAACTCCCGTTAACCGTAGCTCGAAAGGCTTTTTACGCCATCTTCTTTTTCCGTTTCTTCCTCCATATCTTTTGCTCTTCTTTAGATTATTGACAAAGAGAGATAAAACGTTGGTGTTCCTTTTATTCTTCTGCGTCCATTGTCACTCCATTTATAATGCTTCATTTGATCCCATATCCAAACAATAAACAATAATCAATAATTAGTTTTATTTCAACCCATGGAATCTTTTTAAAAGTTATACCTAACTCCAGTAAAAATTTAATGAACACTTCAATAATGTGCATGGTTTACTTTTAAAAGAAATCCAATGTGCATTATTGCATGGTATAAGATATTAAAGCGAGACAGTCATATTTAACCCAATATTTATAACTGATTTATCAGTAACAAGTAAAAAACGGTTCGAAACAACTAGTTTTTTTTTTTTTTTTACTAGTTTTTTTGGTTGAAATGGTTTGATTATGTTTTTTAAGTTCAACGCTTTCAAAGTCTAATTTCTTAGAAAATACATCATGATGCCTTGCATGGTGTTTTTAAAAAAAAACAAATTACTCAGATAACAATTACACAAGTTAGTCAACTGGTAGCTTTGGCTTTATAGTAGATCATCATTAATTAATTTATCTAAAATTTCTATGTAAATCAAAGTTTTTTCTAAACAATTTTAGAGGAAAATCAGTTAACATAAAACTTAATTAGTATAAGTTTCGGTCGGCAGTATTACAGAGTGCCAGAATCACATAATTTGTTTTATTTTTTCTTATTTTTGCATGATTTACAGAATTATTAGATGGAGAAAACTAAATTCAATTATGAAAGATTTGGCAATTTCATTATTATTATTAATCTTTAAATAACTGAAACTGCTAAAAGAAACCATGATCCAACATTTTTTTATGAAATAGCAACAAAGTTTTAGTATTATTCATTTAATGGATAGTGCAAAATCTACGATATATATAAGCCTTGGTGTTGAAGGTAGTGGCGAAATATATATTCGGAAAAACTATATGATTATGAGAACAAATAATGAAAAATATATGACAATAAGTATTGTAGATAGAAGAAATTAATTTATAGTTTTTGTTTATCTTCCACTTGTCGGAATTATATACTAATGTATTATCTAAAGATCGCAGCCTTAACTATTCCTTGTTGCTGTCTTTCGTTACTATTTTTTCTTGTTTTTTCACAAAGTTTTTTCATTTAACTACATTAAATGGCATATATATATATATAGCTATATACTTATTTATTAATATTTTATATTACGGACAATAACCAGGTATTGTGCAAAGAAAAAAACATTTGATTGGTATTATTCTGAAAGAACTTAAAAACATAGATCTACCCCCAAAATTATATACAGTCATTAAATCTAGTACGGCAATGCAATACATATGCCTGCATGACTATAAATTAGTAGGTTTGTGGGGAAAAATATATACTTATATGATAATCTTATCCTTGCATATCGTAAAGATAATCTATGAATGATTATAGTAAGCAACCCGAAATAGTAATACAAAGAAATAGAGGACCACATGTGCGTCCTAGTGCGATTGCTTTGCATCCCCTTTCCCAAATAAATACTAGTAATTTTCAATACAAATTAATGGTTAGATGCTAGCTAGGTGATTATGAAATTTATGAAATGCGAAGAAATTGTTGTCTTCTTCTTCTTACTTTTGTGTTAATTTCTCTATAACAATTATAAACACAAGCGAGTTATATTTATTATATCGTCATCTCCACTAAGAAAAACACATTATATAGATATCTACAAATAAACAAACCATACTTTTCGTAAAATACTTATTTTCTAAGCAGGTGATCCAGTTTAGTGGTCATACGAGGACCACTTTGCTCATCGGCTCATCCTGTCATCCAACTGACAGTGAGTTTGTTAAAAGGTATTATCGTAGTAAATTTACTCGAACCCTAATCTACAATATACATAGATATCACTGATTCACTATATAAAGTAGCAATGGGTTCTGACTAATTCGTGAAGTCAAAAATTTCCACTATTTTTGGTGCACAATTAAGTGAGGAGTTTGTCCACGCTTCTTTGAGCATTAGTTTTGTTTGTGTGTGATCTTCTAATAAGCTAAATTTGTCGTTTTTTTTTCTTTTGTCGGCAACGAATTTTCTGATTTTTATCTAATAAAAGTAACATCACTAGCTGTCAAGCTTTATGTATTAAGTAAAAAATCACGAGACAAGGGGAAAGAAAATTCATCGTTGAGAAAGAAACGAAAAGTATAGGGAATGAATGTGAATATGGTTATATATATCGTATACATTTAATTAATTTGTAGACCTTTCTTTATATAGAATTGTATAGCTCTTTACAACGGTTTATTCTATAACAAAAATACCAAAAGGACAATAATCGCGTCGAATAAGCACTAGTCCCACTAAAGTGGGAGCTAGTAAGCACCAAGCACTAATTCAACTCGTATCAATTTATCATATATAAATCAATGTAAATTTAGCTTTAATTCCTTATTGAGAAAGTTTTGTACCACTTTAGTTACGTCTTATCGCAAAAGTCACACGTTTCTTCTACAATTCTTTAACATATTGATTACAACTGCAATGTACTAATCAAATAGAGAAGAACACTATAAAATGTATTTATGCTTCCATTATTTTCATAAATATACACAACTTCTGAGTTTTTTTAGGAAAAATCTAAGAATGGAATATTTTGGTCGACTTAATACTCATACTAATCATCAAATTTATTTCAAGCTCTCGACTAAAACATACGTTAATAGAATTAGAACACTATATACTAACTGAATAACCTAAAAGCACAAAGAATCATTAGCCCTCGTAAAGTTGAATTTGTTTTAAATCCAAAAAAAAAAGACGAACATATTTATTATAGAAGAGTCTTTACTACTAGCAGTATTGTCGATGGAGTACGCGTGTCACTGGTATGATCATACGTAAACATGGTCTTATCCGTAGATCTAGTAAAGCAATTCATGATTAACCTTCTGATTAATAATTTAATTAAATCTCCATGTCCTTTTTTATTTAATCTGGCAGAACCAAGACCAATGAAGAGGAAAATTATGGAGTGAAATCCTAATTATAAGGAATCTGATGTGACGTGGATCTTCAAGACACTTCCACGAATTAGACTGCATGTTCCTGAATGCTTACACGTGTTCTTATAACCTTCTACATCTCTCTTCTCAACTCCAGGTGTCTCCATTTTCCTTTATATCAGACAACCTAAACACTCCCAAATATTATTAATTATCCAACACAATAAGTAGGAATCTAGAGCTAGCCCAAAGACGTATCTTGCTCTTATTTTCAGCTAATTTCGATCGTTTAATTTGCTCTTAAATCCTCTCTTCAAGAACAAGCCATGGCGGTTCGATCAACAGTAAGCACCCTAATAGTTTTTGATCATTTTGATAGTGTTTTTAACGGATTTACCAAAGTCTAGCATTTAAAGTTGGAATTAGGTTGTAGTACCACTGTGAAATGAAACCGGTTAATCCAACCGCATATAGGATGAAATACGTCGTCGTTTCATTGTGGTTCGTGGGTCCTCATGGTGTGTGTTTTGACTTTTTTCTGTTTTGTCATTATATGGTTAAGGGTCACTTGAAAAGTATGGTGCAAAGGTTAAGAACTTACACGACACCCAAATCCAAAGCATACGCTACAGCGGCGGCAGAGTACGGTGGCCAAAGACCAGCCACCACAACTTCGGCGGCAACAAAAGGTGACTTTGTACCCGTTTACGTCTCCATCGGAATGATTTCACTGTCGGTGTCGTTTGGTCTCTACACGGCGTATCTTCATCTCCACGAAAACCCAAGCGTACGTGTCAACAAGAAGACAAGGGAGACTGTTCCCGAGGTTGAGGATCCCGACAGGGTCCTTAACGAAGCGGAACGGTTAGCCAACAGGTCGTGGTTCAGGAAAGTAGCTCACGTTCAAGAGTTTGACAAGCACGATGTTATTCCCGACCCAATCAGGAAAGACGAGTTCGCTCATAAACCTCGTGCAGTGACGCTTAAGGATGTTGGTGTTGATCCTAAATTGTCGGCAGCTACGGGTCATTGAGCTTTTTAATTAAAGGGACCCGGTTTATGTTTCTGTAACTCCCATGTTTTTTTCTTTCTTTGTATTCAATAAAACAACTCGTTGACGAGGTGAAGAGTTCTAAGATGGGTCGATCAATGTTTTATCATGTATATGTGTTTCTGAGATGTTTTAAGAGTAACAACACAATTTGAATAACACCATGTATATATTTTGTGAAATGTTGTTCTAAGAGTAACCAAACAATTTGAATGTGTTATTGGTTTACCTCTAGAGCATATATGTACATATTTAATCAAAATTTGGTTCTGAAATCAGTAGTTATTGTTCAATTTCGATTTTTCTTATTTGTTTTTGGTTTAATTTTGTTTCGAGTATGTAATTCAACAGGAGTATTTTAGGCTTTTAGCCAAGTTCAAACTCGAAATCGTAGTTTAACCAGTCTTTCCGGTTTAGTTTGCCTGACCACCTAAAATAGTCCGAGGATTTGATAAAGTATGAAAACAGATTGGATTAATACTATTACGGGCTTAAGGCCCAATACGTAGATCCAGGTGGGTAAGAACTTTGCAGGTACGTATTACTACTAGGTGATAGATGACGTGGGGGCCTATGATAGGCTATCGTCGCGTGGCGAGTGATATTTTTTGGCAGAGGACCCTCAAAATGACGTGGCGGCCTATGATAGGCTAACGTCGCGTGGCGAGTAATATTCATTGGCAGAAGACTCTCAAAATGACGTACACGAAGAGGATGAAGAGTATATGTATCTGTAGAGAAAACTGGAAGCTGCGGGAGAAAAATCTGATTTCTCATCTCTGATCTCTGATCTGATCTACTCTTCTTTTCTATTCGATCTTTGATTGCGAGGATGAGAGAACGGACTCTTACATTCGTTTCAGTGCTTCTTGTAGCTTTGGTTTCGTTTCAGAGTCTCTGCTACTGTGACGAGCAAACGGTAAATAGGGTCACTATCGTTGGAACGTTTCTGTTTTAAGATCTGTTCATTGAATTCATAGTAGTAACCTAATCTTTGGTTCTGTTTGTTTTTTGTTCAGATCCTCTATGAATCGTTCGACGAGCCATTTGATGGTCGCTGGATCGTATCGGAGAAACCTGAATACCAAGGTAAATCTTTCGATGTTGTAGAGAATCAAATCAAAATTTTGTGATGGAAGTTGAAGTCAGATGGGACACTGAATCTCGGGATTTTTATGATTCTGATTTTGGTTATAATCATTGTTTATATGCTCGGTAGTTTACTTTTGGAACAAATTTAGAAATGTTCGCTTTTTTACTGGAAGTGGAAATTGTGAATCTGGTATTTGTCTTGTCTAAAGATTTGCTTCTTGTTTGTACACTTCAGGTGCGTGGAAGCACGAGAAGAGCCAAGGGCATGACGATTACGGGCTTCTCGTTAGTGAGAAAGCTAGAAAGTACGGGATAGTGAAAGAGCTTGATGAGCCTCTTAACCTCAAGGAAGGAACTATTGTTCTGCAATACGAGGCTCGTTTCCAGGAAGGCCTTGAGTGTGGTGGTGCTTACATCAAGTACCTTCGCCCTCAAGAAGCTGGATGGGTACCTAAAGGCTTTGATAATGAGTCTCCTTACTCCATCATGTTTGGACCTGACAAGTGTGGTGCTACCAACAAGGTGCATTTCATCTTGAAGCACAAGAACCCCAAGAGCGGCGAGTACGTCGAGCACCATCTCAAGTTTCCTCCTTCTGTTCCATTTGATAAGCTTTCTCATGTCTACACTGCAATCTTGAAACCCGACAATGAAGTGAGGATTTTGGTCGATGGAGAGGAGAAGAAGAAGGGTAATTTACTTTCTGCTGAGGACTTTGAGCCTCCGTTGATCCCTTCCAAGACCATCCCTGATCCAGAGGACGAGAAGCCAGAAGACTGGGATGAGAGAGCCAAGATCCCTGATCCCAACGCTGTGAAGCCTGACGACTGGGATGAGGATGCACCAATGGAGATCGAAGATGAGGAAGCTGAGAAACCCGAAGGATGGTTGGATGATGAGCCTGAAGAGGTTGAAGACCCCGAGGCAAGCAAGCCGGAAGATTGGGATGATGAGGAAGATGGTGAGTGGGAGGCTCCCAAGGTTTCCAACCCCAAGTGTGAGGCAGCACCTGGATGTGGAGAATGGAAGAGACCGATGAAGAGGAACCCTGCTTACAAGGGCAAATGGAGCTCGCCTCTTATAGACAACCCTGCTTACAAGGGAATCTGGAAACCCAGAGACATTCCAAACCCTGACTATTTTGAGCTTGATAGACCGGATTTCGAGCCCATTGCAGCCATTGGGATAGAGATCTGGACAATGCAAGACGGTATCTTATTTGACAACGTCTTGATAGCTAAAGACGAGAAGGTCGCAGAGACCTACAGACAAACCACATGGAAACCCAAGTTTGATGTTGAGAAAGAGAAACAAAAGGCAGAGGATGAAGCTGCTGCTGAGGCAGACGGTCTCAAGAGTTACCAGGTAAATCAATATTCCCTACAAAACATCTCATTTATATAAAATAGCCTTGTTATCATTTTTACTTAAATATGTTTGTGCATTTTGGTGCAGAAGAAGGTGTTCGACCTCTTGTACAAGGTTGCAGACATTTCTTTCTTAAGTGCGTACAAGTCAAAGATCATGGTAAGCAATAATTTTCCAAGACGTAAAGAACATATTTATTGTATCAAGAAGAAGCTTCCATTGAGAATCTGCAATTTCCCTTTTTTGTAGGAACTCATTGAGAAAGCTGAAACACAGCCAAACTTAACCATCGGTGTCCTCGTGTCCGTTGTGGTCGTCTTCGTCTCCCTCTTCTTTAAGCTCATCTTTGGTGGTGGTGCAAAGGTAAAAACATGTTAAAAGCTGTGTCAATTGTGTCATTGGATGGTGGTCGTCGTTTGGTTGTAACGAAAATTTGTGGGGTGTTATTTTGTAGGTTAATGTCGAAAAGAAGAAACCGGAAAGCAGAACTGAGACCTCGACGAGCGAGGCGAAGACAGAGGAGAAGGAAGAAGCGGCGCCTGCACCACGAAAGAGACAGACAAGACGTGAGAGTTAGAAGAAGCAAAGGGGTAGATTTTGAATTTTGGGCTTTTGTTTTTTTTTTTTTGTTTTTATCGCCAATCCGGTTGTTCGGATAGACAGTAGTGAAATTGATATAAAGACAAGATTGTATGTTTTTTTTTTTTTGGCGTTTTATTTCACTTGAATCTGATTGTGGATCAAACAACAACATATTGAGTTGATAATGATAACCAATGGGATTATCGTCGGCATTATTTATCATCATCAAGTATTTTGGTTTTGATCATCCTATTCTATTCGTCATAATTTACCTAAATAAATATCCTCGGGACTTTAGATAAAAGTAAGGGACTTTCTAGTTTCTATTTTACAAATAAGAAAACTAAGTGGAAATACCATACCCAAAGAAAGGGGCATCTCCATAAAAGAGAAACCAAACTGCAGATGATGAGGATCACATATTAAAGATCGATGCTAATCGAAAACAAAGTTAAGTCAGTACAGAGATTTTGGCCACACGTAATAAATAAGAGTTTTGAAAAACGTTTTTCTTCGCACAAAGACGTCCTGCTCCCAGATTGTAATGTGCAAGTGATCTCAATGACTTGCCCGTCGTTGATGGTTTGGACCAGAAGCCGTGACCGTAGACAAGCCCTGAAGAAGGTGTGACAGCTAATTAGGTACAAGTCAAGTCAAACGAGGGGGGAAAAAAAAAAAAGAGGAGAAAATATTACCGAATGTTGAGAGAGAAACTGGTTTTCTGGAACAAGTTCAAAATTGTGTCTCGGATGAGACATTCGAGGCATTGAAGGCGGCATATGCTGCCTTTGTGTTGTAAGCTTTTCAACCTCCATGTTAGCAAAATAGCGCATCTCCACTCCCTTGTCCTGACTTTCCATTTGAAGAAGATTAGAAAGAGTCTCAACAATGGTCTTCTCCGTATAGCCAGAGGGAACCACTAATACTCTCCCATGACCATGAGAAATCTGAGAGACCGGAAGTGGAGGTGGCACATGCAGACCAGGCGGCATTTGTGATGGTACAGGGTTTAAAAAGTATCCATGTGGTGTAAACTTTTCATCCTCCCTGTTTGCAAAATAGTCAAGACCACCAACGAGAGCATGCATCTCCTCCACTCCCTCCTGAAGAAGATTGAAAAAGCCCTCAACAACGGTCTTCTCCTTACAATCAGAGGAAAGCCCCCATAATACTCTCCCATACGCAGAAACAAGCCGATTGAAAAAACTGAACCAATCATTTGACTTGATAAAGTCAAACTGAGGGTCCGGGAACAACAACAGTCTCTTCCTCAAACCATGCATGAAAGTCTGACCATACCGAGCCACAAACTGCGCTGTGAGCTTAATAACACCAAGCTGCTTGCGCGTGATCCCTTGAGGATATACAAGTGGATAATCTCGAGGTGGTAGAATATCATCAGGCTCCTTGACTAGAGGATGATGATGAAGATGCGGTTTTGCATCATCAGTAGCAGCTGGAGCATCATCAGGCAGACCTGCAGACAGCATTTGTGATGAAATGCGTCCAGGTGGTGACAACTGTCGAGAACCCTTGCTAGCGAAAAAGTCAAGACCGCAGGAGAAAGCATGCAAATCGATAATCTCCTCCTCTTGATCCTCCTCCTGCTTTTCCCCTTGAAGAAGATTGAAAAACCCCTCAAGAGCGGTCTCGTTGCAAGCAAGGTGATTCCAGGGGACCTTTAGGTTAGGCCTTAAAACTCTCGCATACGCATCAACAAACCCAAGGAAAACACTGAACCTACTGCTATCACTTGTCTTGATAAAATCAAACTGAGGGTTTGGGTTCGAAGTCACACTAATCATCAAATCACGACAGAAAGACATGCCATACCTCACCACAAACTGCGCTGTGAGTTTCATGATACCAAAATCATTGAGCGTGATTTCTTCAGGACACTCGAGAATATATCTAAAGGCAGATCCTCGGATGCATCATCTGGTTGGATATCTTGATTCTGAGAAATCTTAGCGTGATAAGGGTCGTCTGAGCTCCTCAAAAAGCTGAATAAACCATGTTCGGCAACCAAACACACCGTTTCCTCGATAATACGCCTCCTTTCTGGATCCGCGGGAGCTTCATTCGACTTGTTTTCCACCGATTTCTTTTCCCTTGAAC